TGCCCTATCATTGGTATCAGTGGGAGAAATAGTACCACATCATTGGTATCGGTGGGAGAAATAGTGCCCCATCATTGGTATCAGTGGGAGAAATAGTGCCCCACCATTGGTAACGGTGGGAGGAATAGTGCCCCATCATTGGTATCAGTGGGAAGAATAGTGCCCCATTATTGGCATCACTGGGAGGAATAGTGCCCCATCATTGATATTGGTGGGAGGAATACTGTCCCATTATTGATATCAGTGGGAGGACTAGTGCCCTATCATTGGTATTGGTGGGAGGGCTAGTGCCCCATCATTGGTGTCTGTGGGAGGACTATTGCTACAATATTGGTATCGGTGGGAGGACTAGCACCCCATCATTGGTATCGGTGAAAGGACTAATGCCCCATCATTGGTATCCAAGGGAGGAATAGTGCCTCATCATTGGTATAGGTAGGAGAAATAATGCCCCATCATTGGTATAAGTGGGGAAATAGTGCCCCATCATTGATATCAGTGGGAGTTATAGTGCACCATCATTGGTATCGGTGAGAGAAATAGTACCCCACCATTGGTAATGGTGGGAGGAATAGTGCCCCATCATTGGTAATCGGTGGGAGGATTACTGCCTCATTATTGGTATCAGTGGGAGGAATAGTGCCCCATCATTGGTATCGGTGAGAGAAATAGTACTCCACCATTGGTAATGGTGGGAGGAATAGTGCCCCATCATTGGTATCGGTGAGAGAAATAGTACCCCACCATTGGTAATGGTGGGAGGAATAGTGCCCCATCATTGGTATCGGTGGGAGGAATACTGCCTCATTATTGGTATCAGTGGGAGGAATAGTGCCCCATCATTGGTACCAGTGAGAGGAATAGTGCCCCCCATCATTGGTATCGGTGGGAGGAATACTGTCCCATTATTGATATCAGTGAGAGGACTAGTGCCCTATCATTGGTATCGGTGGAAGGACTAGTGCCCCATCATTGGTATCGGTGGGAGGGCTAGTGCCCCTTCATTGGTATCCATGGGAGGACTATTGCCCCAATATTGGTATTGGTGGGAGGACTAGCACCCCATCATTGGTATCGGTGGGAAGACTAGTGCCCCATCATTGGTATTCAAGGGAGGAATAGTGCCCCATCATTGATATCGGTGGGAAGAATAGTGCCCCATCATTGGTATCCAAGGGAGGAATAGTGCCCCATCATTGGTATCAGTGGAAGAAATAGTGCCCCACCATTGGTAACAGTGGGAGGAATAGTGCCCCATCATTGGTATTAGTGGAAAGAATAGAGCCCCATCATTGATATCGGTGGAAGGAATAATGCCCCGTTATTGGTGTTAATGGGAGGAACTATGTCCCACTGTTGGTACCTGTGTGAGGAATAATACCCTATTATTTATGTTAATTTGAGGAATTATGAGCCACATAAAGGCAAGTAGAGGGCTGCATCTGGCATGCAGAGCTGCAGTTTAAAGGCTACTATTCTATGGTGAAGAATGGACACGATGAAAAATGGATGCTGGTGTTAATTGCTGGAAAACCAGAGATAACTGTGGCACTCTACCCTCACCCGATCCCTCAGTGTAGCCCATGCAAAACAGGCTCACTTTAACTGCATCCTCCATACCTATTTACCTTTATTCTCCTGCTGCTTTCACTTGGAGCTTACAAAATCTGGTAGAACTGACCACCTAAGCACCATTGCTGTCACATGGAGGAATAACAATAAGTCATAAGCTGCCCCATACCGTTTTTGGTTCCTCGGGTGAATGTAGTGATGGAGGAGTGAAGAAAAGGTACGAATAGGTAGCTGCGGGGGGGGGTCACAATTTTAATAAATTTGTTGCTTTGCTCTGCATAGAAATCTGAACTTCAATCCCAATGAATTTGGTTACCTAATTATATAGTAATAGAAAAAAGTCACTGTATGTTTAAATTCAAAATATTTGAAGTACGTGAATTTGCCCTGATATCAGTATTTTGAATCTCCTATTTAGCTACAACTATACTGGGAAACCCAGCTTCAGGCCTTATTCACAAAGGCTGTGAGGCCCATACAGTGTAAATGAACTGTTTTGTTTATATGGTAGAGCAGGGGTGCCAAACTGGAGGCACTCCAGCTGTTGCGAAACTACAAGTCCCATCATGCCTCTGCCTTTGGGAGTCAAGCTTGTAACTGTCAATCTTGCAATGCCTCATGGGACTTGTAGTTTGGCAACAGCTGGAGGGCCGACAGTTTGACACCCGTGTGGTAGAGCATATCACCGCTGCACATCTGTCAAATTAGGACAAGTGATTCTGTTTTCACAGCCGCTGTATCCCCATAGTGCCTGCATGCAGCTTCAGGCGGCTCCAGCTGCATAAACAAATGGCGCACTCATTCTGTATAGGCCTCATCTCCTGTGTGAATGAGGCCTTAGCATCTAATAAGATTCTACTGAATGCACCAGTGATTACAGTGAACACCAAGGAATGAACTCATCAGTGTGTTGATGCTATTTCATGGTTCAGTCAGCAAATGAGGGTATATTCTGACTCAGTGTTCTTGTCAAAAAACGTACTGTGCTGTCTGGCAGGGTTGCTGGATCATTAATTTGGCTTAACAGAAATATAAAACCATTTCCATATACCTATTTCACCTGTGCTTTCAAGGAGTTCAGTTTCAACACTTACCTTAAAAGGTAACTCCACTTTTGTGGGGATAAAATAGCAAATAGTAACAAAAAAATAATGTAGTGTATACAATTGATACACAAGTCATATTGTAATTGAATGTTATTAAATATGACCTTTTATTTTCAACCTGCAGTGCTGTAATTTTCTCTAAAATGCAATATAGCAATCTACAGGCATTCTGTACACAGATGGAGTACAGAACACCTCCAGAAATGTCATTTCTTGATTGTGTGATTGGCTCTTTGATTTTCCCAGAAGCCTACAGTATGATACAAGTCAGATTTTTGGCATCCCCTGCAATAAAAATGTTGTTTTTGGTGGGATGCTCCCAAAGGGAAATCACGTCTAAAGGGATACAGACCCCACCACTTTCCTCATTAGAGCCCAGCACGTGCAGAAGCTGAATGATAATTATGAAACCACTCCCATTAGATTCATTTTGCACATGGACACAGACAAACAAATTGCAGTTTCTTCAGAATAACACAAGGTAGGAATCTGCAACAAAGTTTGTTAAAATGCCTGCAATCAACATAGATCACCCCCACAAAAGTGGAGTTACTCTTTAACCTAATACCTAACCCCGTTAACCATAACGTGTAAATCCTCGCCTTCTAAAACAACCCATTCAGTTTAAAATAAAAATGAAAAGCAAAGCATTTTGTGTATAGATATAAAAAACATTCTAAATACCTTTTTATCTCTTTTTACAGTATTCCCAGCTGTATAATAAGAGCTAGGGGAGGAGAAACAGCAGAACACTGATCTTCCCAGTAAATGGCTGTGCAAGAGGAGGGGGGCATGTGAGCAGAAGACTGATCATTGGAGCTAGGGGAGGAGAAACAGCCAGCACACTGATTTTTTTGAACAGTATATATATAATATATACATTTTTTGGGGGACAGCACTGCGCTTCTTTTTCATTGTGTATTTTGTAGATTGAGGATGTGAAACACCTACCAAGTGCTGGTAGGTCATCCACATATTCCACATAGATGGTTTGCTGTGGTTGTGCATCATTTGGTTTGCATTTACATAAAGACTGTTGTTTCAATATATATTTATTATTTTTTGTTTATTTTTTTAATGTAAAAAAAAAAAGGACAACATTGAAAAAAAAGTATTTTATTTGTGAATAACTTTGCAATGTTTTGTACCAGAATCACTCCTATAGTAGAACTATAGGCGGAACTTTTTTTTGTTTTTGTAAAGTGTAAGGAAGGGTTATAACCCCTGTCAGTTTTGTTTTACCATCTGTGTCACATTCCTGTCCCATAGCCAAAACAAGAAAGAGAGGCAATCCCTGAAATCTGAGGGAATGTCACCAGTGTCACTGGATCTAGTGTCATCGTTGGAAGATTTCCCTTTTATCCCTATTTTGGTGACAACCCAAAATGTGGGATTTCCTTTCACTTCCACTCTTGGTGATATTGGCAAAGAGGATAAATACAGAGGGTGAATCTCCCTAACAGGGACACACAGCCATGAAAACCTGATGATGGTTCTAATCCACTCCACTCTATCAAAAACTAAAACAAGTTTTTTTTCCTTTCGTTATTCGTCAAATACAGTAACACTTAAGAAAAAATCATTAATCAAAGAAGAAAAAATATGTTTTGTTACTTTTTTCCAAAGAGTGCATTAAAAATGTTGCAAAACAAAGTCACCAAAAGTAAGTCTTTTTTGTTTTTCTGTATTTCTTTGTTATCTCAAGTAATGAGAAGGTTAGTGCTGAATAAACAGACCCATAGTAGAAATGTAAAAATTGGTCAGGTCCATAGTGGGTGGGACAGGTTTCAGAGCCGACGACATGGTCAATAAAGTTTTAAGCTTGATTCACATCTATGCAGGTTACAGTTGATGCATTTTTCCGCAGCATTTTGCGTTTTAGAACACGCAAGTTTTTTTTTGCTAATAGAAATATTCTATTAACAAAAAAAAAACGCTGCAAAAATGCCCATTGAAGTCTGATACGTGGAAAACTCAACCTGCTGTTTGAAAAAAAGTCCCTGGTCCTTTCCAAAATATGCACCAGCTAAAATCGCACAGATCTGAACTAGATCCATAGAAAATCATGTTACATGGACTGTATTGCATTTCTACAAAATGGAAAACGCACTGAAATCTGCATAAGGCTAGGTTCACACCTGTGCGGCCGTGGGGGCTACGATTTGTGTGGGCATGAGAGCCCATTCATTTAATAGGCTGCCGTGACCCATGACATGCAGGAAAGAAGTCCCTGCACTATTTTTGAAGTTGCAAGGGAACCGAGGTTCCCAGTATGTTGCAATTTGCAGTGTGAGTGGCTTGCCATTAGGAACAGGGGCGGACTGACAACTTATGGGGCCCCCCCAGGCAATAGGGGATCATGCAGCCCCTGTGTCCTTGTCCAAATTCAAAAAAGCCTATGAAAAAGGTACCAGGGGCATCTCATGGGGCCCCCTACTGACCCTGGGCCCTTGGGCAGTGCCCGAGTCTCCAAATGGTCAGTCCGCCCGATTAGGAATAATGTCACCCGCCCGCTGGTCCTGTATTTCTCTGTGTGGGTGGTTGCGGCTCCTGGTATTTGTGCGGGTTCTGCGGCGGCACCACCCGCACAAATGTGATCCTAGCCTAAGGGCCCGTTCACACCACTGCATTTTAGTGTAGCTGTAAAATGCAGATCAACGGAAGGACATCTGAAAAACAATGAGTTTCAATGTGTGTTACACTATAACGTTGCATTGCCTGGCACTAAAATGCAAAATGTATGTCAACAGACATCAAAATACATGTCAACGGATGTCAAAATGTCTGTCAGTGCGTGTTCAAACACCACTAAAATGGATGGAAATGTACATGTGAATTGGTCTAATTCTGAACCTATGGTTCATTGTAAGTGCTCTGTATCTCTGCTAGAGGGAGCTACTGAGCTGTTAAAAAAAAAAAAAAAGTCCAGCGTACTGCACCAACAAACCAGAGCTGAAAACGAGGCTTGGTTTCAGGAGCATACAGTTAACCAACCTAATCATTTCAGGAGCCTGAAAGTGAGGCTTGGTTTCAGGAGCATGAAAGCGAGGCTTGGTTGCAGGAGCATGAAAGCAAGGCTTGGTTTCAGGAGCATGAAAGCGAGGCTTGGTTTCAGGAGCATGAAAGCGAGGCTTGATTAGTGAACTATGAAGGCGAAGTTTAGTTTGTAAAAATGTGAAAGTGAGGCGTGGTTGTTGGATTGTGAAAGTGAGGCTTGGTTCCTGTAAGGGTTTGCACAGCAGTGTGGAGATGTAGGCAGACCGATAGGAATAGACTGACTTTGGATACAGGTACTGTGCTGATCTATTTATTTTGGTGAAGAATTAAAGGTATAGTCCATCTTTTGCAACAAAGTGAGCCATGCACCCTCATTAATGAACGTGCTTGCATTGAAGCCTGCAGAGCAGTGCAACTCTGCATAGTGGATCTCAGGTGCAATGCCCAAGCATCTGCAGAGCATTCCTCCAGCTCCAGGTCTGTAGGGCAGTATGGACTGACTGGTAATGGGTTGCAGGAAGTAAACACTGGACTCCCAGTGTTGTGACATCACTGTGCTCTATTGAGAACTGCAGGTTCCTCTGTTGCAGCGGTAGATGAGACTTGTAGTCTTTCCATTCACAGATCCATGGATGACAGAGCCGTGCTGGTGGAGCCACACGATTAAAGGAAGCCATGTCGCTGCAGGGAGAACGCCCCGCTGTTTAGGTAAGTGGAGGTGGGAGGCTGGAGGAATCTGGCCATGTTTCATGTTATACCCAATATATGGCTCTGAGATGACGTGGTCACAAAGCTATATTGCCTATAGCTCGCATAGTATGGCCTCATTCACACAGCGGTAACAAAACGCACATACAAGTGTTTTTTAATTACTGATCTGAATGCAGCTGCATTGTTTTCAATGGAGCCATCCACACAGCTGCATAAACATGCACTGCATTCAAATCCATAACACAGAATCCAAAAAACATGTAAGAACATAGGGTTTACACGCAGAAACACATGTATACACATTTTTAAGCGTGTAAATGAAGTATATATACACATCTAAATCAGGTTTTGACAAATCCCAGGTGCCAGGTCACCACAGCGACTAGAAATTACATCCCTAGATTTGCACACTGCCTTCCATTGACTTCAATGAAAAAACACCTCTCGATGACTTCAATGCAAAAATGCCTCTAGAGGACTTCAGTGCAAAGCCGCCTCCCGTTGACATCAGTGCAAAGCCGCCCCCCGTTGACTTCAGTGCAAAGCCGCCCCCCCCGTTGACTTCAGTGCAAAGCCGCCCCCCGTTGACTTCAGTGCAAAGCCGCCCCCCGTTGACTTCAGTGCAAAGCCGCCCCCCGATGACTTCAGTGCAAAGCCGCCCCCCCGTTGACTTCAGTGCAAAGCCGCCCCCCCCCCGTTGACTTCAGTGCTCAAACGCCCCCCCCCCGTTGACTTCAGTGCTCAAACCCCCCCCCCGTTGACTTCAGTGCTCAAACGCCCCCCCCCGTTGACTTCAGTGCACAAACGCCTCCCGATATCAATCCTATGTGAACACTTGTCTCTGCATGCCACTTTACTCTATCACTTGCGAGTCTGGAACACACTGCTCCAAACTCGCACAGGACCCTTTTCGCAATGGCATTCAAATCGCAATGCGTGTGGTTCGCATCTGTGTGAACCACCTCAATAGGAACACATAGTATCTAGCCTGTCATGCAATTCTGTGAGTCTGAAAAACGCATCCAAAATCGCATATATATGAACCATGGCGGCTCCATTCACACCTGGGCATTTTTTTGAGATCACGGCAGAATCATTATGATCACAAAATGTAGATTCAGGTGCCATTATTTTCAATGGCACCTAAAATGTGTGTTTTTTTCATGATTGTCACACAGCAAATTGCATCACATGAAGCTTGTTGCCCAAGAAAGTTGCTTTGCTCCGGTTGCTGATGACCCATGCTACACTAAAAAGAAAGAAAGGCTTCTAACTTTTCTAGCAGGCTCCTAAATGAAATTTGTCAAGCCCTGATCCATATGCAAGTATTTTACAGATCATTTTGCAGGAACTTTTGTCCTAGATAACACGTCTGATAACTTCAATAAAATATTTATTAATGTGAATGAAGGCTAAAATTCCGCAGGCTTGTACCTGTATGAGGTCCAGCAATGACATTCAGTGTGATCCAATGTGCTGCAGAAAAATGCAGCATGTCCATAATTTCCCACAGCATGCATCACACTAGTGTTGTGGTATGAACAGGGCACATAGCAATTGTTTTCTGTGTGCCCTAGCCGTGATCTGTGATTTTTTTTTTTTTTTTTTTTCCTGTGCATAAAAAATGCAGGTCACTACATATAGTGTGAATGTACCCTTAGGGCCGTGCACACCATAACATGCATAATAACTCATGAAAGCACGTGCATTTATAAACCTTTACATGCTTTTTTGTGTGATGAAGGAGGTTGATGTGTGTTTCTTTCATGCATTTTTCTCTGTTTCCATTGTCATTACATTACATTGCACCTCTGGATAAAACGAACAGATAGCCCATGCAGTGGGGAAAAAAAAATACTTTCATAGAGTTCTGCTTTTAAAAAAGTCCAGGTATGGATTCAATTGCCTAGTTACATTGGTCCAGCTCAGAACAATGTAAGTATGCATATTCCATACCTGGCAAATCCCTGTGGAGAATTACTGCTACTATAGTGACCACCGCTGTGTTCCAGGTCTTGTGTTTGAGGTGCCATTCACAGAATGCCTTGCATTTTCTTAATGAGTGCAAAACTTTCTCTGATTGGAAGAGGTGGAGATTGTGATGTCATTGCCTTGCCTCTCTACCTGGTCCAGTTAGAGAACGCCTTTTTTAAGTGAAGTGTCCTGTGAATGGCGGCAGTGTCAAGCAAGCAACCCCCTCTGTGTTCACTATGAAGAAGGGTGGCGCCTTGGCACAGGACCCAGAAAACAGTGGCAATCATTGTAGCATCAGTGACTACTACAATGACTCTCCAGTTCCACAGCTCTCCTACAGGTAGGGCATATGCATACTTACATTAGTCCAAGCTGGACCAATGTAACTATGCTATAACTCCACACCTTGAATTCAGCTTTAAGGAGAATAGGAAGTGCTACAGGACTGTGATTGACTTAGACTGCTTCACCGATTTGGTTGGCTACTCCTAACATTAGAAAACATGTCTGATTTCATTTGTATAACTGGATACCATAACAATGACTACTTGACCTCTTGTAGTGAAAGCACTGATATTTCGAACACTAATAGAATGAGCCCAGTGTCTTGGCAGAGGGGATTTGGGGGTTGCTTGGGGATTTGATCACTGTTTGGTATTTGTGTCACATGGTGATCTCCACCAGCGATATATTAGATCTGTATCATTATGTGTTCACATGTGCCAGGAATATTATTTTCAGTCTCCTACAGTGCCTTGAAAAAGTATTCATACCCCTTGAAATTTTCCACATTTTGTCATGTTACAACCAAAAACATAAATGTATTTTATTGGGATTTTATGTGATAGACCAACACAAAGTGGCACATAATTGTGAAGTGGAAGGAAAATGATAAATGGTTTTCAACATTTTTTACAAATATCTGAAAAGTGTAGCATGCATTTGTATTCAGTCCCCTTTACTCTGATACCCCTAACTAAAGTCTAGTGGAATCAATTGCCTTCAGTGGTCACTTAATTAGTAAACAGAATCCACCTGTGTGTAATTTAATCTCAGTAGAAATACAGCTGTTCTTTGAAGCCCTCAGAGGTTTGTTCGAGAACATTGGTGAACAAACAGCATCATGAAGGCCAAGGAACATACAATACAGGTGAGAGATAAAGTTGGGGAGAGGTTTAAAGCAGGGTTAGGTTGTAAAAAAAAAAAAAAAAATATATCCCCCCCCAAACTTTGAACATCTCGTAGAGCACTGCTCAATTCATCATCCAAAAATGGTAGGAAAACCTACCAAGACATAGGAACTTCTCAAGGAACCCTATGCTTTCATGGATGCCTGGTTGAGAATGACTGCTCTAATTGGAGATTACACAGGGCCGAAGACTCTCTCCACCCAAAATCTGATTGGATATAAATTGTGCAATATGTTTAGGCTCTCATGCTACATAGTTGCAGGTAAATGTACACGTAATGCTATGATCATTCTTTGGCGGTCAGTTTCAATAAAAAGGTTGTATTTCAGTTGCATAACTTAGTGCCTTGCAGAAAATTCTAGCAAAATTACCAAAATTAATTTGGAAGTTAATAAATCTAGGGGCAGCACAGTGGCTAAATGGTTAGCACTTCTGCCTGGCAGTACTAGGGTTGTTGGTTCGAATCCCAGCCACGGCACCACCTGCCTGGAGTTTGCATGTTCTCCCTGTGCCTGCGTGGGTTTCTTCTGGGTACTCCGGTTTCCTTCCACACTCCAAAGACATGCTGGTAGGTTAATTGGATCCTGTCTAAATTGGTCCTAGTATGTGTATGTACAATATATATGTGTAAAGCGCTGCGTATATTGACGGCGCTATATAAGTAGCTGAAATAAATAAATAATAGGACTGATGCAATGTTGTTGTGTGCATGGCCAGAATGAAGGAGATTGTGTGTATTCAGTTTACAGTTGATTACTTCATAGATTACAAAGCCTTTTGGTGGCTGCCTTATTGCATATGTCATCTCAAGCAACATTGGCATTTTACACAAGTCTCCTGTGTGGTTGTATCTCAATGTTCATGTCTTCCAGGTTCATGAGCTGGTATTGGTCCTGGAACTTTATCTCTCATAATGGAAGCTTTGTTGGAAGGACTGCAAAAAAAGGGAAAGACAGGGTGAGTATAATAAAACGCAGAGAGAAAAGCTTGTTCTCTGCTGCCATAAAGTGGAGAAAGGACCCATACACCTTACTTTGTATGGAAGCAGTCGTTTGCAAATGTCCAGGTGTGGCACTTGCGAGTCACAGCTAGAGCTCACCAATCAGCTTGTTCCCTTCATAGAATCCCTGCATTTTATTGAGATCCTGTATTTGTCTCATCTTGTCAGTTTCAAAGAAAGTTTACTCAGAACTTTTTTCCCAAAATGCCTGAATTTCACCTTGTGTGTTTTTTTGTGACTCTGCCATGAAAGTGTTGCCTTTTTTCCACATCAGCTCAACAAACCTTATTTGTAGTTTTTTAAGTCTTAGTGGTTAACTATCCATACAGTAGACCAGGGCACTGCCAGTGAACAATGGAGCCTTGTAGTTGTATAATAATTTATGCATATTCAGACCTCATATCAGAATCAATTCCTGAACCTTAACACCTCAGATCAGCTGCAAACCCTGCACCTTAACATCTCAGGTTGTACCAATTTCAGCACCTTGAAACTTCAGAGCAAACTCAATTCTTCCACCTTCAAACCTCAGATCAACCCCAATTCCAGCACCATCAATCCTCCTGTTAACCCCAATTCCATCACTATCAAATCTCAGATCATCCCCGATTCCTGCACTTTCAAAACTCAGATCGGCCTCAATTCCTCCACCTTCAAATCTCAGATCAGCCCTAAACTCTGCAGCTTCAAACCTCAGGTCAGTCCTAAACCCTGAACCCTCACAAATTAAGTTTTCCTTAGCTGCTACAGCAGCTCCAACAATTGGATGAAGAGTATAAGCGAGTGGAAGGGCTTCTTCCATACACTCTCTTGTTAGCTGCCAGCATGGCTACACTGTCAGGGAAGTGGGTGGACCATGGGCAGATATGTAATTGACCTCCTAGTGAGCTGTCAATTATGGCCTCTGGCAGCGGTGCTGCTTTGGGCTCCAGTGAAAAAGGCATCTCATGCCGTAGGTTGCCAATGCCTGTTGTAGACCCTAAAACATTTACTCTTGTTTTTTCAACATTCTCAGTAATCCTTGTTAATAAGAAAAACTGTGTGCCCTGAACATCTTTTTTCATGTGTTAGACTGGCTTTGGCTATTTCCACTGATAATGTTGCTGTAATCTTTTGCTATGTTGTTTATGTCCACACTTTCCTGTACTAACATCGTTATTTTTCTTCCTTGTGTCAGGACACTTTATAGTTCCTGTGAAGCTGAGTTGCAAGAACTGATGAGACAGATTGACATCATGTTGGATCATAAGAAGGCTGAGTGGGAAGCCCATACGGAGACACTAAATACTCTTTTACAACTCCGAGAGCAGGAGTTAAATACTTCTAGCGCTCGAGAAGAAAGACTGAGCCAAGAGGTAATCCTATCACCTCTGACAGCTGAATGGGTTCTGCAGTTTAGATGGAAATGAAAATCCCATTAAATGAAAATCCCCATATGCTTCTGACCAATGTTTTAGTAATACAGAATAGTTTAAATAACATTAACAACAATGCAATAGTACATAGTGCTCACGTTTTATTAGCACTGTGCAAATATACTAGAATGGTATACATTTAAAACTTTATCTTAATAAATCCCATTAACTGATTTCAAATAAATAAATAGTAAATAGTAGTAATAAATAAGTAAATATTTCGTACATGGCAGTGGATTCCCAGAGCAATATGAGTTTTATGTATGTAGATAAGTTAGTGAGCGCACTCCAGTGAGCGGCAAATGCACTAAAAGGAACCACAAAACCTTTCCAACTGAAATTGACAAAATAGAAGTGCAGCGCTACAAACAATGTCCTTATAGCAATTATGTTAAAATGACTCATGAGAAAAGATGATTGTCCAATGCAATAATATTAGATGTGGTAAGCAGTTCAATTATGTAAAAACTTCCAAAAACGTTGGTGTAATCCAATCCAATATCAAGGGGTAGATAGATTGCCCACTTACCAGAAGCGCAATCTCAATGCGCATGTACAGGTCACATGTAGCTGAGGTCTCATGTAGGCGCTGCTTGGTAGTACCCAGGTGGTCCCTCAATGATAAGGAGATACTGGTCTGGTTGGATCACACTGCTCCTTGGATCCACACAGAAGCCTAAAAATGCTGGGGCTGAGGTATGAGGACTCAGTGCCAGATATAAGAAGTAAAGGGTGCTCATAGTGTAGTATTTTAAATAAAATATTTATTAAATCCAATGTGTAAAAAATCAAATAAGGATTACAAAGCACATGCCTGTAGCCAGTAAAAGAGGCTGTAAAGAACATCTAAAACACTGACCAGTGTAAAACAGGGGTTGGCCGCCGGACCTCCTGATCCGGCGGCGTGACTTCAAGGCGTGCGAAGGCTCCTCCTAGACGCGTTTTGTGTCAATACACGTCTACCGTAGGGGTGATGCCATATGAGTTTTATAAAGAGGATGTGTTTTTCACAGCAGGAGTTGTCTTTTTGTAGACCCATTGGGGGAGATTTACTAAAGCTGGAGCACTCAGAATCTGGTGCAGCTGTGTATGGTTCAGCTTCCAACGTCGGCTTGTTCAGTTAAGCTTTGTTAATCAACCTCGAAGCTGATTAGTTTCTATGCAAAGTTGCACAAAATTTTGCACTCTCCAGTTTTAGTAAATAACCCCCATTGCCTGTAATTGAAACCTCAGACTGATGAAGCTGAACTAGAAAATGTGAGAAGTTGCTGACAGCATATCTTGCTGACTAAAAATGAGAATGCGTTATACTGTATTAATGCTGTATAATACTGTAATACTGTATTATACTGTATTAATATGCAATATTTCTTATTTACCCAACTAAAAGAGATATAGTTATATAGGTTGAAAAAAGACACAAATCCATCCAGTTCAACCAATAGAACAAAAACAAACTAATAGAAAACCTCCATATACACAATCCTATACCCAAAGTTGATCCAGAGGAAGGCAAAAAATGCATCCAGATTCTTCCTTTTTATAAACAATCTACTGAGCTGGTCAGAACTACTTCTTGATGGAATCTGTTCCAAATTTTCACAGCTCTTACTGTGAAGAAGCCTTTCCGTATGTGGTGGTTGTCTCTTTTTTTGCAGATGTAAATATTTAAAATGTTTTAAGCAAAGCTAGTATATATATATTATAGCAGACCTGCATGCCAAAGGGACTTCTTTACCCTGGCTTCTTCTGCCATCTTGATTGGCCAGCTTGGTGTGATTTAACTCATGCACAAGGGAGTTTATTCATCCTGGCAGATACCAGAACTGTACACTGAGTTGCATATACCCAACTCAACATACATTTAGAAAAAACATTGCTACCAGGCAGGATTTTTTTTATGCAGAAGACACTTAGTCTCTTCCTACAATAAAAACCTGCCTTTCAGCAATTATTTTAAATAGGACTTTAGTTCTGCCCTAAAGCGTAGGCTTATTTTTCTAACGTGTAACCTGAATGTGTCTGTTTTTAATTCTACAGATCAAGACGCTAAGAAAACAGTTGACAGAGCAAGAGGAGAGCAATCTCAAGAAGACATCAGAATATGAATCTCAACTGACACAGTTTCAGGAAGAGGTTTGTCACACCATTATTACCTTTTCCAACAAGATGTTTTCTCTCCTAAACCTGTGAACTAATGAAACCCTCACACTAGTCATACATGGCTTGAATTCCATCCAATTCTTGCTGAATGGGGTGAAATTTGAGCTGTGGGTGCTCCTGTAGGCACCACCTAGCTCTACAAATTTCAGTTACAAAATTGATGGAGTTGAGTGGAAAATTGTCAGCTGAACAATGACTATATCCCGTCGGATGCATTCTGTGTTCTGTGGGTGTCGACTTTCTGAATAAAAAGTCTGGCATCAGATTCCACCATCCATGCAGTTTATCATAGATAGGGGCAATTCAGTGATTCCTTATATTTTTTTCAGCGCTCGAGGCTGAACAAGAAACCAGCTGTGTATGGCCAGCTTTAATCCATTCTTCAGCAGAACACGCCATGATTCTCTCGAGATCCTTCTCTTGGGCAGACTCTAGAGAGATTATGACTAGGCAATTGTTTAACTGCCTGGAGCGCTTGGACATTTTTGATAATAAATGTTACATTTATTGAAAAATTGTTCTGTATATTTTGACATGCTAGGATCTCAATTTGAGTAGACTTCTTAAATTACAACTGCGCTGTGTGCACAATTATTAGGCAAGTGAGTTTCTTGATCAAATCATCATTTTTATGCATATTGTCCAACTCCAAGCTGTATAATCTTGAGTGCTTATTGGATTTAAGCATATCAGGTGATGTGTATTTGTGTAATGAGGGAGGGTGTGGCCTAAGGAGATCAACACTTTATATCAAGGTCTTCATAATTATTAGGCAGCTTCTTTTCCTCAGGCAAAATGGGGCAAAAAAGAGATTTAACTGCCTCTGAAAAGTCAAAAATTGTAAAAAGTCATTTAAAGGGATGCAGCACTCTTGAAATTGTTAAGATATTGGGGCGTGATCGCAGAACCATCAAATGTTTTGTTGCAAATAGTCAACAGGGTAGCAAGCATTGTGTTAAAAAAACACTCAAAATTAAATTGCCAAAGATTTGAGAAGAATCAAACTTGAAGCTACCTGGAACCCATTATCCTTCAGTGCTGTCATATTCCAGAACTGCAACCTACCTGGAGTGCCCAGAAGTACAAGGTACTCAGAGACATGGCCATGGTAAGGAAGGCTGAAACCCGACCACCACTGAACAAGAATCACAAGCTGAAACCTCAAGACTGGGCCAAGAAATATCTGAAGACAGATTTTTCAAAGGTTTTATGGACTGGTGAGATGAGAGTGACTCTTGACGGACCAGATGGATGGCTGTGGCTGGATCAGTAATGGGCACAGAGCTCCACTTCGACTCAAACGTCAGCAAGGTGGAGGTGGGGTTCTGGTATGGGCTGGTATTATTAGTGATGATCTGTATTCAGGCCACACTGAATATGCCTTAAGTCAGGGGTGGGCAAATGTGGCCCTCTAGCTGTTGTAGATCTACAAGTCCCATGAGGCATTGGAAAACTGACAGTTACAAGCATGACTCCCAAAGGCAGAGGCACGATGGGACTTGTAGTTCACCAACAGCTGGAGGGCCACAGTTGCCCACCACTGCCCTAAATGCAGAGCACTGTGCCGCAATGATGACTCCCGTGTGCTTGCATGGGATTCACGTGATTGCAGCCTGGTCATTCAAATGGCCAGAGAGTGCAATCCTCTAATGAAGACTTAAGTGACGATGGGAGCACCAGCGGCGGTGACCGAGCAGTTTTTGAGGGCTCAGTTTTAAAGGTAAGCCTGCCATAATATGTTAATATGTGGGGCATATTAGCATATTATGGTTTAACACTGCAGGGGGCACATTTAAAAAAAAAAAAAAAAGGTTTTAGACTTTAAAAGAGACCCCGTCACCAACTTAAAAAGTTCCGGTAGAAGTATAGCAAAATCAAATACTTCTTATGTACAATATATGTCTCTCAATAGTAGCAAGCAATATTTTTAAGATGATGGTCATTTATCCCTGATAAAGGACAACACCAAAAGATCAAAAAGCCCCATAGAAATACCAGACTGATAGCTGTGCAGCGCCATGGTGGAATACTGACTCCTTATTGGTCTGTGAAGTTCCCCACCACACAAAGGACTGATATAGAAGTTTAGCAGGTGGAAGGGGCCAAGACAAGTGCACATTTTACAGCAAAAGTTAAGATCTGCATGTTATGGCTTTCTCCTGTGTTTTATATTTTACTGATCACCTAACATGTGGTTTTCATACATAGTCATCCCTGCTTTTCTCCTCATATGCTTAGGTTGACTTGCCTGGTTTGTGTTAATATACTGTATACTCTTTAACAAATACATCTGGAGTTTACTTAAGAGTCCCATGTTTTAAACAAGAAACTCTATTTACCGTCTTTTTTTCAAAAGCTCAATAAATTGAAAAGATCATATGAAAAGGTTCAGAGACGACACCACAGGTTGGAGGTGAGAGGCAAAGCAGAAGAAGAGAAGTCCGAGGTTAGCCGGCTTACAAGAAGGCTGGAGGTGAGAAAACTAGAAAGGAAGAAATTAAAAAATCTAAGTTACAATGTGAATGTGTCCCTCTTCAGTGTTTTCATCATTGCTGTTTTGTGGGTTACTCAGTGTTAGCATTTCTCCTGCAACAACACTGCTGAAAAAATGTGAAATAGAACTGTACAACCTAATAATACTGATGCTGTTCCATGAAACATTGAAACTTTATTCCGTTTGTGTAACATTTGTGGGGTTGGATGTAATACAGAGTGTGGAATTTAAAACAGTGCTGAACTGGCAGCTGATCAAGAGCCTAGCATTTGGTGGACCCTTACAAGTTCCATTTAAAATATTGAGGCCTCCTTCCCCTATAAAAAAAATCACCTGCTGATAGTATATCCAAAATGTAGTTGTAAAGAAAAAAGAGCATCCCAAATTTTGCAAGACACTCTAGTCCAGTGCAAGAACGTCTTCTCCTAAGACTTAGGCTGCCCCATGCATTCCCCAGGATTTGACCAGAAGGAGCATGGCATCACCCTCACCTAGGCACCATTGGTAGATGACAGGAGTAAGGTATGTAATCTAACTTTTTCTTTACAAGTACATTTGGACATACTATGAGCAAGTGATTTTTTTTTTAGTTGTTTGTGCAGATAACTGTACCTTGTTTTATGTACATAAACCAAAATGAGAACATTGTCCTGTGTGCCTGGATGAAACACATGAACCAGCTGTTTCCCGCAATCTGGCTGTAATCCATAGACCAGGCCAGGAGCAGTGAGACACTGTCCTCGATGTTACAAATGCCTTGTATATGTGTATAGCAGGGAGAGAAGTGGCGGAGAGGAAAGAGCCCGGAGGAGGTGAGCTATGTTGTGTTCTCTTGGCTCCCCTCCTGTCGTCCATGCAGCACATGATACAAGATCACTGGATAGATCATATGGGACTGCAAACACACACTATGATTACACTCCCTGCCCACATTTCCTGCTGCATGGAGATCAGCAGCTCTTGGAGGAGGTGGGTGGGTAATCATAGTGAAAGTGTGGTCCCACATGATCTGAGAGAGGGAAGAGGGTGAAGGGAGAGGGAGAGAGAGAATCATATATACATACACACACTTCTTGAACTCTCTCGCTCTCTGGGGGGGGCGCAAGATTTTTGTGTTGACTAGGGCGGCACAGAATCTGAATACACTGTTGGGTGTGGTGCACTACAAAATAAATTAATAGGGGAACATGATATATGGATAAAATGCATATAAAGAAAAATGAAAATAAATGCATGTTGAACACTTTTGCACTACTAGGGTGGACCACTATCAATACACAAGGCTGTGAAGGGTGATGTGTGTGTATATGTGTGTATGTATGTTTTTGTGTGTATTCAGTTAAACAACTATACAGGCATGTGTGCATACTTACAATGAAGTCTTGGACCCGATGAACCCAAAGAGGACCTCGGGGGTACATAGCCCAAAAAATATTTACAAAGGGTCCCGGTAAAAAATGAAGATAGGGATGAGTTAACATAATGGGAACAAGAGGAGAGGGAAAAAAAAAAAACAACATATGATGCAAAGGTACATATGCACAGATGGGATTAAAGTATAGTATGGATCTCTATTTCCTCATTAAGGCCCCCCGGGACCAAGGTTCCAAGGGTATAAATCCAGAAGGTCTCACGGCGGCAAACGTTCTGCTGTTGGAAAAGAATTGGGCACAGATTCAATAGCCCGTACTGCAAGTCCTCTTGTGGACTTGTGGTTTTCTAGAAAGCGCTTTGGGGCACTTATGTTTGTCAGATCCATCCTTGATGAGGCGTCTATGTTCGCCAAACCTCTTTCTAAGTGTCGGGATGGTCCTTCCAACATAGAATAGATCACAGGGGCATTTTATGCAGTAGACTACGTACGCTGATGAACAATTGTGGAAACCGTTAATCCTGTAAGTGATCCCTTTTGGCCATGGGTAACAAACAGTTTTTTTCGGCATTGGTACATTCCTTTCAAATCAAGGAAGGTGGGGGATTCTTTTTGACCATGGGAGGATTTTTTAAAAATGCTTGGGGCCACTCAGCTTTAAAATGTTTTTGGCCTTACAATATGAGACCTTGGGATAGGATGGAAGGGATATCTGCAGGAAAGGGTCTTGGAGGAGGATGGGCCATTGTTTTCTGAGGACCTTTTCCATCGCTCTGTGTTCTGCATGGAACTGTGTAGGGAATCTCTGATGGGTTGTGTCTCGCTGGACGATTTTAACTTCTTTTCAGGTGTATTGTTATATGTGAGGTATTAGGAGTATGCTTCCTGCAAGAGGGGTGCAGGGTAACCTTTTGTCCAGAAATTTCTGAGTCAAGTGATCACTGTGTTCAGTGTAGTCACTTTCAAAGGTGCAGTATTGGTTTTTAGGTATGTTCTTGAATCATCTAGGGTGATCGCAACTGTGGAAGTGCAAATAGGAGTTCCCTGTGGTGGGCTTCACGTCATTTTTGGCATATATTTTGTTACCATCATGGCTCTGTTCCAGATCTAAAAAGGCTAGGACATGGGTGTCATGGACATGTGTGAAAGACAATCCTAGGTCATTTTTATTACAATAATGGACAAAGGCATTGACAGATGTATTGGATCCCTCCCAAATGATGACAATATCATCTATGTAGTGCCGGGGACTGCGCTCACCTCGCCATCCATGGAAGCGAGACTCCATCCCTGGACTTTTGGGTTGCACTAAACCTGTGCAATACTGATGACAAACAATCCCTTTTTTACTCTCTTTTGAGTGTTACTTAGCTTTGCTGAATAAACCATATATAAATACTACACTCAGTGGCACCTCCCTTATTCTAGATTCTCCCACCTGAGCTGTGGATCTCTGCAGCTCCTCCAGAGTTACCATGGGCCTCTTGGCTGCTTCTCTGATTAATGCTTTCCTTGCCCAGCCTGTCAGTTTAGGTGGACAGCCATGTCATGGTAGGTATGCAGTTGTGCCATACTCTTTCCATTTTTGGATGATGGATTGAACAGTGCTCCATGAGATGTCCAAAGCTTTGGATTTTGTTTTATATCCTAACCCTGCTTTAAACATCTCCACAACTTTATCCCTGACCTGTCTGGTGTGTTCCTTGGCCTTCATGATGCTGTTTATTCATTAATGTTCTCTAACAAAACTCTAAGGGCTTCACAGAACAGCTGTATTTATACTGAGACTAAATTATACACAGGTGGATTCTATTTACTAATTAGGTGACTTCTGAAGGCAATTGGTTCCACTAGATTTTAGTTAGGGTATCAGAATAAAGGGGATTGAATACAAATGCATGCCACACTTTTCAGATATTTATTTTTAGAACAGTTTAAAAACCATTTATCCTTTTCCTACCACTTAATTGTGCCACTTTGTGTTGGTCTATCACATAAAATCCCAGTAATCCCATTTACGTTTTTGGTTATAACATGACAAAATGTGGAAAATTTCAAGGGGTATGAATACGTGTGTGTAGATTAAAAGATATAGCATAGAATAATTTTTTAAGCTTGGTAAATGGCAGCAAAATTTTCAAGCAAATGAAATGAATTATTTTCATGCTGTGTGACAGTCAAGTGAGGTTGTGCTTTCTCTTTCTATATCTCTATTTGTTGTTTGCATTGGATGTCATGGCTTTTCCCCTAGGAATTCCGCCAGAGGTCTCTGGACTGGGAGAAGCAGCGTCTCCTGTATCAGCAGCAGTTGGCAGCATTGGAAGCTCAGCGCAGGACACTAGCAGAACAGGCTGAAATATACCAGGTACACACAGGGATGCAACTGTTTTTTTGACTTCTATATTTGAGTGTACAGCTTTCCTTCTATTTTTTTTTTTTCAGTAATTCAGTACACACCTGTTATGATGTGCAGAATACATAAAAGTCAGGTTTCAGTTTTTTGTAGCTAGGCTAGAGATAATTAATTGCTGCGGACTAGAGCTAATTGTACAATGTTATTGTTGGTGCATTGCCTTATTATATAGGCTGTAATCATGATAATGTTCCCTAAGTTGAATTCTTTTAGCCTTATTTTATTTCATCTTAAAGCACAACTTCAGCTTGTTTTGAATAGGTAAGGGCTAGAAGCTCTGTCAGTTTTTATTGTAGTCTCTGTCCCCATTTGGGATATTCCCCAAAGTGTCACACACAGTGTCTGCGTTCAGGTCTGTGTACCTGCTGCTGCTCACATGTCAGATTTAGGCATGTGACTGTCCGTGCAGCTGCTGCTTCTGCATCCAATTCTGTGTTCTGCCTGCATACAGCTCTAAGGTGAATGCACACGCAGCAAAAAAGCAGCTCATCATGGAGGACAGGTCTCGGCACCCATCTCAATGCGCTCTAAAGTGTAACTTTGCTAAACCTACCAGTTCCAGAGCCAGTAGGAATCCTGCTGCCTAGATCACGTAGCCCATTGTGAAAACCTTCCCAATCAGGGCCACACATGCAATCTATGTGCTCATTTATTACTATGGTGAGTTAGTCCATTCCAGTCAACGAACGTGCAGAGTGCATGCATTGCTTAGAGTGGGAACATTTTGACAAGTAACTGTGCAATCTTGTTGCTGACGTCCACCTGTCAGGAACAGATGAGTATAAGACTGGGAGTGGCTGGGAGAACTATGATTTACAATATAGGTGTAACTGCCTCCAAAGGTACATGAAACCTGTATTAAGAGAAATGTGTGGGCTACCATCGTTGACTTGTTTCTGAAAATATTAGTGTTCTGACTGTCATGCTCATCTGCAAGTCAACCATGACAGTTTTCATGGTTTCGAAATCTTATACAGAAGAAAATATATGTAGACCGCCATTGGCAACCTCCTTTATAAAATGTTAGTTGCCTGGCTTTATCTGGCTTCAGTACTTTGATTCGTGATCCAGAACAAACATGGAGCCAGTGAACTCAATGGAAATTCATGTCACTTCAGCAAAGGTTGTGCAAGGATTTCTCTAAGCTCTCTAAGGTTTCTTTTAACAAAACATGCCTGTGAGTTTTTTTTTTTTTTTTTTCTTTTCCTGATAATTATCTTTCCCGATTTTGCAGCAACAATCCCAAAGCCGTAAGCATATGCTGGAGCAAACAAGCTTGGCTGGCCGATCAGAAGTCCAACATCTTAGTGGTCAGCTGGAACGTGCTAATGATACTCTCTGTGCCAAAGAAGGGGAGTTAGAGAGTCTGAAGCTGCAGCTAGAGTCCTTAACTGCTGGACAGGAGAGAACAGACCGTGAGCTTCAGCAGGCTCAGCACACCATAAAGGTGAGGCCACTGGTGCGTTACTTGGCTGGTGTTTGCTATGATAGTATTGTACCATACCGAAGATGATTCTTGCACACATTTCAGGGGGGCTCTGTCCATTTATTTCTCAGTGGCTTATATCCTATTATTATTATTGCAGGTGTTAATATAGGGCCTTCAATTTATGCAACACATTACATATTGTACATTTGCATCATTCCCTGACCTGGGGACCGGTTCACACCATGCCTGCATCTGAATCACACAGGAACCAGGAACACGCTGTGCATTCCTGTGTGATTCAAACCGCATGTAAAACGCTCCACATTTGCGTTCTGCACTGGGTGTCAATAAAAAGTTAACATCCCAAACACAGGTTGCAAACGCATTGCGTTTGCCTGCACCTGCATGCTCTGTTGTTGGTGCGGTGTGATTTCAGCCTATTCAGAATGAATGAGCTGAAATCACACAGGATAGCACAGCACGTTTCTGTGCGATTCAGATGCAGGCATGGTGTGAACCGGCCCTAAAGGAGTTCACAATATACAGTCTACGTGCACACGTACATATACTAGGCCTAATTTACATAGGAGCCAATTACCCTACCAGCATTTCTTTGAATTTTGGGAGGAAACTGGAGTGCCCAGAGCAAACCCATGAAAATACAAGGAGAACATGCAAACCTAATGCAGCTAGTGTCATGGTTGGGATTTTAACCATGGACTCTAGTTCCGCAAGGCAGATGTGCTAACCATTAGGCCACTACGCTGTCCATATTCTTGCACGGTTTTACAGTGTTTATTTTGTGATATAATTGAGAAGGATCAAAATCTTTGTCAGTTTTTAAATGCTGTTTGTGTGATCAATGAAATTTATTTTTTTTTCTCTTCTTGTTTTGTCTGACACTGTCATCTAGAAATTAACTGGGGGGTCTCCCTAATGGGAACAGGGACAGCAGGTAAATCCTAGGAAAGCTTCTATACTGACCTAAGTGTGATAAATGTGTATTTATTGCTACTTCTGTTCCTGATGGGGGGGATTTCCTCTGGCTGCCAAGTAACAGAGGGGGAAATTATCCCTAATTTCTTGTTCCGTCTGACACCTAGCAAATAAATAGAAGGTAAGGAGAAAACTCCCTAGCAACACAAACTGCAGTAAAAAGTTAACAAAGTTTCTACCGCTTCCTCACTTTTTTCAGAAACAAAAATGCTGAATAGGCCACTCTGTACTGTAGTTATCTGAACATTTCAATATAATTGTTTAAGAAATCCTCCTGCTTTTCCTTCATACAGGTTCTCCAGGAAGAGAAAGCTGAGCTGCGGGCGACCATACAAGCTCAGACTGACTTCCTGCAGGGGTCTAAAACACAGAAGGAAGAACTACACAGAGAGGTGTGCAGGGTGAGCGACACACTGAAAGAAAGGGAGAGCAGCATCAGGTGAGTTCACCTTAACCGGGAGTGAAGGTTGCCTTAAATCACTGCTGCCACTGACCTGGTTCTTCACATTTTTTTGGATTTATGGAACATATATGGTTTTATATGGTTGCAAGGTAACAACAATTTTGATTTAACTATTTTGGAATGTGAAAATAAACCCATACAAAATGTGGTTGGAAACCGGTGTTCTATTAGTTATAGTTCTCAGTTGGCAGAGCAGATGTATTCTTTGTGCAACCTACCTAGGCTTAATTTTATTAAGTGAGTCAGTGAGCACTTACCATGTTTTGTTTACATGGATTCATCTTACCTTGTGCCATGGATCTGGGTCCATAAAGCAAACACTTCAGTGACCCAGGTTCCCAAAAACTACAGCCGTTTGTTAGGCAATTTAGACTGAACAGTTTCTTATTTGATAATTTGCCCCTAAATTAGTCAACCACGGTTTGAATTTCAGCTGACTATCTCTGAATTGGGTGAAATTTGAACCATGGGTTGGCCCTGTCAGTTCAACCTTGAAAAAAGTCAATTTAATAATAATAATAATAAATAATTATTATTATTATTATACAGGATTTATATAGCACCAACAATTTGCGCAGCGCTTTACAATGTAAGGGAGACAGTACAATTGCAATACATTTCAGTACAGAAGGAATGTGAAGGCCCTGCTCGTGGTGCTTACAATCTAAAGGAAGGAGGAGATGATACAAAAGGTGATAGCTGCGGGGGATGATCTGGTGGAGGTGATTCAAGTACAGTTCTTAGGTGGAGGTGGGGTAGGCTTCGCTGAAGAAGTGCGTTTTCAAAGATCGCCTAAAGGCAGACGGGTGGGGGCTGACCGGACATGCTGTGGTAGGGAGTTCCAGAGGATGGGAGAGGCTCTGAAGAAGTCCTGGAGGCGAGCGTGGGAGGAGGTGATGAGGGAGCTAGAGAGGAAGATATCATAAGAGGAACGGAGTGGGCGATTTGGCCGATATCTGTGGATGAGGTCGGTGATGTAGCTAGGGGCAGTATTGTGGATGGCTTTGTAAGCTGTGGTTAGTATTTTGAATTTTATACGTTGGGTTAGTGGAAGCCAGTGAAGGGATTGGCAGAGAGGGGCAGCAGTCACTGATCGGTTGGTAAGGTGTATGAGTCTAGCAGCAGCATTCATAATAGACTGAAGGGGGGATAGCCTGTGTAACGGTAGACCAGTGAGGAGGGAGTTGCAGTAATCGAGGCGGGATATAACCAAGGCGTGGATAAATTGTTTTGTGGTGTCATTGGTCAGGAAGGGGCAGATTTTGGAAATGTTCCGGAGGTTGAGGCTGCAGGATTTAGCCAGTGAGTGGATTTGGGGCCCAAAGGAGAGGTCAAAGTCTGAGATTACGTCTAGCACCTTGGTATGAGGGGAAGGACCAATGGTTGTGCTGTTGATCTTAATGGTAAGGTCGTGAGTGGGAGATCGGGGAGGAGGAAATATTATAGGCTCAGTTTTTGAAATATTGAGTTTGAGGTAATGATGTGACATCCATGTTGATATGTCGCTAAGTAGATTTGTGATACGTGAGGAGATTGAGGGGGTGAGCTGGGGAGTGGAGAGATAGATCTGGGTGTCATCAGCATAGAGGTGGTATTGGCAGCCATGGGAGGTTATCAGCTGGCCCACTGCGGAGGTATAGAGAGAGAAAAGGAGGAGCTCAAGAACAGAACCTTGGGGTACCCCACCTGGAAGAGGAGCAGAGGAGGAGGAGTTTTATGTGACACTGAAAGTGCGCTGAGAAAGGTAAGAGGAGAACCAGGAGAGAGCAGAGTCACAGAGGCTGATGGAGTGGAGTTTACTGAGGAGGAGCGGGTGGTCGACTGTGTCAAAGGCAGCGGAAAGGTCAAGGAGTATGAGTATGGAGTAATGGCCATTGGTTTTAGCAGTTAGTAGGTCATTAGTGAGTTTTAGTAGGGCAGTTTCTGTGGAATGTTGTGGGCGGAAGCCAGACTGTCGGGGATCAAGAAGGTTGTTGGTGAGGTAGCAGTTCATACGGTTGTGAACAAGGAGGTCGAGAAGCTTGGAGGCAAACGGGAGCAGGGAGATGGGTCTTAAGTTATTCAAACAGGTGGGGTCCAGCGAGGGTTTTTTGAGAATGGGGGGTAACCAGTGCATGTTTGAGTGGGGAGGGAAAGGTGCCCATGGAGAGTGAGAGGTTGAAGATGTGGGTTAGAAAGTTTAGGATAGAGCAGGAAGGAGGCTGCAACAGTCGTGAGGGGACAGGATCCAGGGGACAGGTGGAGAAGTGGGCCTTGGAAAGGAGTTCGGTAACTTCCTTGAAGGTAACAGGGTTGGAGGAGGAGAGTGTTGAGTTTAGTGTTGGGCCTGGTATGTTGGTTAGAGGAGGAAGCTTGACGCTGGAGATCTTATCACGAATTGTGTCGATCTTCTTCTTGAAGTGACTGGCAATCTCCTGTGCAGTAAGTAAGTTGGTGGGTGGAGGCAGGAATTAAGGGTAGAGAAGAGTTGACGAGGATTGGATGAGAGGATCTTGATGAGAGTGTTATAGTAGGTTTGCTTAGCAGCGTGGAGGCTGGAGTTGTATTTAAGAAGAGCGGATTTGTAGAGGGTAAAGTCTTTCAGGGATTTAGTTTTACGCCATGCTCGCTCAAGAGTGCGGCTGCGTCTCTTGAGACTTCTGGTGTCATCTGTTTGCCAGGGTTGAGACAGGCGAGGCCTGGTTCTGCATGTAGAAAGAGGAGCAAGAGCGTCCAGGGAGGATGATAGATAGTTGTTGTAGGCAGATGTGGCCAGCTCTGGGCAGGACAGGGGTGCAATTTCATCATAGAGGCGCTCAGTAGCGGAGTGAAGAAGGTCAGGGCTGAGGTGGTGGAGGTTTCTACAGGTAACGGTTTGCGTATTGGAGGCATGGGAGGTAGGAGGCAGGGAGAGTGTGAAGCTGATAAAGGTGTGATCAGAGAGAGGAAAAGTGGTGTTAGAGAGGTTACATGGAGTGCATAGGTGGGTGAATACAAGGTCAAGGGTGTTGCCATTGCAGTGGGTGTTGGATTGTGACCATTTTGTTAGGTTAAAAGAGGAAGTTAGGTTGAGTAGTTGAGAGGTGGCAGGGGTGTGAACATTGACTGGGATGTTAAAGTCACCAAGGATGATGGCAGGCACCTCAGAGGAGAGAAAGTTTGGTAGCCATGCTGAAAAGTCATTGAGAAAGCGTGAAACTGGGCCCGGGGCCGGTAGATGACTGCGATCCTCAGACAAACGGGAGAAAAGAGATGAATATAGTGCACTTCGAAATAGCGGGGGGAAAGGAAGAACCTAGAATGTGCATTCTAGGGAAAGAAGAAGTCCGACTCTGCCCCCTTTTCGTCCGCTGGGTCTGGGCGAGTGAGTCCAGAGGAGGCTGCCATGTGAGAGTGCAGCTGAGGAGACAGAGTCGGTATCTTGGAGCCAGGTTTCAGTAATAGCAAAAAGGTTGAGGGAGTGAGAGAGGAAGAGGTCATTGATAGTAGAGAGTTTGTTAGAGGCTGAGTGGGCATTCCAAAGGGCACATAGGAGGGTGGGGTTGGTGCGTGGAAGCAGCGGAATTGAGATGAGAGAGTGAGGGTTGCGGCTGCGGCCAGAGAGGGGAGGCTGCTGCTTCTGTGGGTTGGAGTTTGATGGTGGAGGGCCAGGGTTTGGGGCAATGTCTCCAGAAGTTAGTAGCAATAGGAGGGTGAGGGAGGTGAGGTGGGAGCGAGATTTATATGAGGGCAAGTGCCGCAGTGCTTTTGAAGCGGTGACATTATGTGGACCAAGAGAGAGCAGGAGATAAGTGCAGTGATATTGAGAGGGCAGGAGTGAGGGTGATATGTACAGGTTGTGGTGGGGAGGTGGGGTAAACAAGAGAGAGTTTGAGAAGAGAGGGCATTATAGCAACAAAGAAAGTTAGCAAGAGCATGCTGGAGATAGGAGAGATAACAAAGGAAGGCTGACCGAGAGAGGGAAGAGCACATGCAATCTACTTGGGGTGCAGCACTATTGTTTGTACTTGCCTTAGTTAAAGTGCCATGTTTAAAGTGCCAGATACTTAATGCCGTAATGCGTATTTTGCGCAAGGAATGCCAGCCTGTCCCCTCGCCAGCCTTCCCCCGGAATGTTATGAATAAATACTTGGATGGACAGGGGGAGGTTAGGCAATCGTTCAATTAAGAGCTAATAAATGACACTTGGGGGATGTGTTCTGCCCTTAACAAATTGCAAGCAGGATGGACACAAGATAAGGCAAGGTCATTAGAACTAGGCCGAAGAGTGACCGTGACCTATCAAATGCAGTCATTGAGGCAGCTATGGGTCCTGATTGCTGCTGAATACAACAGCCAGCAGTTGAGATTCCTCCATCTATGCCGCCTAGCATGGATGGTGAAATTCAGCAATAACTGACTGGTGGGAGAAAATCTATACATGTATAACTAGTCTTATCCTGCTACCCTATTTTGAGTGCTGAATGAAGTAAGTGGCCTCAGATGTCTATAGGAAGGTTCAGATGATAGAAGGAAGTGGGGAAAATTATTGGAAAAAAAGCAGTGTGGATGCTAATTGGTTAATGGAATGCTAACTTTTTGTAGATCCCTGGGCATCCTAAAGATGAACTGAGCCAGGGAATATGGAGGTTCATAGGTCTACCCTGCACCTTACCTTGTAAGGTGATCCCTCAGGTTTCCTTTAAACCAAATTGGCTGATGGAAAACGTATAAGGAATTAAATACAACTTGTAGTTTATGTGGTATTTCATAACTTTCTAATCATACTGATTTATTTGCTCTTTCATAAAAAAAAAACATTATGTGTGACATGCTTTTAAATAATCCAGTCGTATATTCTTTTTATGGTGTGGGGCAGTCTGCCTTCTGTTTTACTGGCTGTTGGAAAAGCTGATTTTTCAGTATATTATTGATTCGTATTATGAGCACATAATATGAAGAGGTATGCCGCATAAAAACTCATATGTCTTTATTTTAGCATGTGAGCATGTTGTGTATTTTTAGCATGTGAGCATGAAATGCTTTCAAAGTTTTTTATGATTATGGATTGTAGGTCATTAGAAGAAAGATTAAAAGGAACCCGGCTCTCTGATGGGTGTACAGAAGTGGATGTACTGCGCTCTCAGCTGTCCATTAGCCATTTAAATGAGCAGAGGCTACAGGATGAAGTGACCCGACTAGAAAGTCATATTGGGTCAGTGACACTCCAATGCAAGCAGCTTGCTAAAGAGATTAAGGAGAAGGCTGAATCAAGGCAGCTGTTAGAAGATGAGCACACGAAATGCTGGGAAGAAATTAAGAAGGTCAGTGAGAGATCTCTGTACTTTTTATATTATTTGGTATGGCTTGAAATGATTTTGATAATATGTTCTGTGTACCAGGGCCTTTGGTATCGTATGTATTCCTTACTGCCATTTTATATACTGTATGAGTTGTAATCATATCAAGACAGGGAAAACATAAACTGCCTTCTATCAGTTCTCACTTTAAGACTACAGAGAAGGCCCAATGGCTCTGCCTCATTAGTGGAATGAACCTGTTATTCATTAGTAGATACTAATCTCCAAAGGGTCAGGTAGGAGATGTAGGCACTGCTCTTGGTCCTTCCAGTGTAGGTTGTAATGTTTAGGGCAATGTAGGGCAAAACAACATGTTCCTTTTTAAAGCTTTCTCTCCAGGCAAACGGCTACGTGCACAGATGAAATATAAATATATACATTGTATGTACAGAGGTGTGGACATTTTTTTAAATAGTACTTGTCCAAGGACTAAATCAGTGTTCCAGTCTACTTGTCCCTCATGACAATCTGCTTGTCCTGATAAAAAAAAAAAGAACAAAACATTTTTTTTGCCAGTTTGGAAAATATGAAGGGTTGATGAGGGGCTTTATGGCAACTTAAACTGCTATAACATTTCTTAGAACACCCAAAGATTTGTTTTTCTAGGGCAAAATACACTGGGGAAAAATACACTTTTTACACACACAAAAAAAAATACAATACTAAACCCAATTTTTTAGTAAAATATAAACGATGATGTTACTCTGAGTAAATGCATACCAAACATGTCATGCTTTAAAATTGTGCACGCCCGTGCAGCGGCAACAAACAATGTAAATGTTACTATCCATAGGTGACGCTTTGAAAGTTTTTACAGGTTATCATCTTAGATTTACAGAGTAGGTCTGGTGTTAGAATTACTGCCCATGAGCTGACATTCTCAGTGATGTATCACGTGTGGACCGAATGCTGTTTGCATGTGTGCAGGACCGATGCATGCGTTCGCCTGTTTGTGTGGGGATGTGGGTGCTTTAAAAAAAAGTTTTAATTATTTTAAAATTCTCACTTTTAATTTTTTTTCCTTTTTTTGATCACTTTTATTGCTGTCACAAGGAATGTAAACATCCCTTGTCACAGCAATAGGCATCGAGCGATCTAGGGTCAACAAGACCCCAGATCCCTCCTCTGCCCTTAAAAGCATTTGATTGCACAAGATCGGTGTGATCAAATACTTTCCATTTTTTCAAAATGGCGCCATTTACATCCAGAGAAACTAGAAGTGATGTATGCTCATCGCTTCCTGTTTCCTAGATCAGAGCGGAAGCACCAAATAGCCTATTGGGTGTCTTGGTGCGACAGTACAGCCCGCGGAAGGGGGGATGTCCCCTCCCGCTGCTTGTATAAGCAATCCAGTGGCTAGTTAGTTGGATTTCTTTTACAAGAGAGTCGACCGTTGACTGATGTCTGCTGCATGCCCGGAACTGCATCGGGCTATAGGAATTGCACATTCCTGTGTGTATATGTGTGTGTGTGTGTGTGTATGTATATATATGTATTTATATATATATATATATATATATATATATATATATATATATATATATATATATATATATATATATAAAATGTTTTTATGTATGTACAGATACTCCTCAGTTAATGACCCACCTGTTTAGTGACTGCTCAGACTTTCAACCTACTCTCCGATGGATACAGTTCCTCGCTCAATGATCAGCTGTCAGACTTACAAGCTGTTATCCGACAGCTGTTTTCCCTGCCAGAGTATTTGTGATTTTTGGCCATCCAGTTCTGAGATTTATACAAAACTGCCACACAGTGCAGTCCTGTCTAACCGGACTGAAGACATGATTTTTTTTTCTGTTAACATTAAAATGCATATAAACCCTTACCTACAATGAACTTCCCTAATTTGGTGTGCCAAATATACCCTTGCAAGTTTTTTTTTTTTTTTTTTTTTTTTTTTAATTTAATCTGTTCAAGAAAATATCTATTGCTTCTGCCAGAAATCTTGATAGCATGAAGTGAACAAGAAGGTATAAAGAAGGAGAGACCTGTGTCCTTTTTAATCTCTCAGATATGAAATAGGCAGGATGGACTCCGCTTGTTTAGTATCTGAGAGCTCAGAAGACACCTGGGTACTAAAGGCAAATAGACTGTGTTCTTTGCAAGTGCAGTTGCATTCTGCAAGGACATTTGCTTCAGAGCTTAGTAAATGAGGGGAAGCTCTACTGACCTTCATCATCCAATCATGTGCAAGCAGAAATGCTGTTTGTTTTTATTTACCTTCCATGAGATTTGCAAAGTGTAGCTTCACCTCATTTACTAAGCTCTGGAGCAAATGCCCTTAGCAAAGTCTACTTGCCTTTAGTAAATAAACCCCATTGTGTTATACGCTCAAACAGTACGGTAGGAGAACTCTATATTTCTGTTACATCAACAGTTATATTTCTGTGCTTGCAGTGTGTTTTAAGGGATAAAACATTGAGGAATGGGCAAGTATTAGATTTGTACTAATGTTTCAAGTAACATATTTACTTATTTTAGCTATTTATATAGTGCTTAAAAATGTATGCAGTGCGTTTTACATATTACATTTACACAAGTCCCTTCCCCCATGAAGGTCCCTACCTCACATGCATACATATACAGTATACACACACACTAGAGCCAATTTATATGGGAGCCAATACACCTACCAGCATGTCTTTGGGAAGAAAACGGAGTACCAGAGGAAACCCACACAATCACAGGTACAACAACAAAACTCCATGTAATTAGTGCCTTGTCGGGATTTGAACCAAGGGCTCTTGTGCTGCAACCGCTAAGCCACTAAAGGTCCTGTTCTTCCCCCAGCCTGTGACTGGACAGTAAAATTTGGAAGAACAAAGATTGATGAGCTCATTTCACTGTCACTTTGCTCTCTTTTCCTATGCGCTTGCACTGCAGCACAACTGAATGGCTGCTTGTACTGGCTTTTCCTTCCCCAGTCTGTGCTCTGATGCACAGGGGATTGCAAAAGACTTAACCAGATAAGTTACATTCAGGAACCTAACCTTCTTGAATTTAAAAACTACATTTACAAATGTGTTGATGAATATAGAGCTTCATTAATTGTGTATTAATATCTGCCTGGAATTTAGCTTTATTGGTAGGTCCTTCAGCAATGTATACTTACCTTTTCTTCACTCCTCCAGTACTCCATTTGGCCATCAGTAGTGAGAAAATACTAGATACTTACAGGTATGGGGAAGCATGTAACTCTCCTCTCTTGCTTCCATGTGACAGTGCTGGTGCTAGGCGACTGGCTGCTAAGACATCCAATCCTGTCCCATGGGATTTGGTCACAGTAGACTTATTTCAAGTTTTTGGTTTAGTGTGTGTGTGTGTGTGTGTGTATGTGTGTGTACATATGTGTGTGTATGTATGTATGTATGTGTGTGTATGTATGTATGTGTATATATATGTAAAATTTGTGTGTATGTACAGTTGTGTTCAAAATAATAGCATTCAGACATCACTAACCTGATCAATCATTTTTTGGTAGAAATGATATTTCTACATGGAAATAATGTATTTACTAGCAGGTGTGTAGAGTAATAGAAATCCAACAGACTCAATAGTCATGACATTGCATGATGCTGATTCTGTGTAATTGAATCACTAATTGAAAGGGGCATGCTCAAAATCATAGCAGTGTGGAGTTCTATTAGTGAGGTCATTCATTCTTTGAAAAATAGGTGGCAATTATTGCCCTTATTGAAGGAAGGAAGGCAGCAAATGTTGTACATGCTGGTTACAGTGCATTTCTCTCTGAAATTCTTAGGAAAATGGATCGTTCCAGACATTGTTCAGAAGAACTGCGTACCTTGATTAAAAAGTTGATTGGAGAGGGGAAACATATAAAGAAGTGCAGAAAATGATAGCTGCTCAGCTAAAATGATCGCAAATGCTTTAAAATGGCAACCAAAACCTAAAAACGTGGAAGAAAGCAAAAAACTAACCATTCGAATGGATAGAATAGCTAAAATGGCAAGGACTCAGCCAACAATCAGTTCCAGGAAGATCAAAGAAGGTCTAAAGTTACCTGTGAGTACTGTTACAATTAGAAGACTCCTATGTGAACCAAGCCATCTGCAAAAAGCCCCCGCAAAGTCCCACTGTTGAAAAAAAGACATGTGCTGAAGAGGTTACAATTTGCCAAAGAGCACATAGACTGGCCTAAAAGAGAAATGGCGCAATATTTTGTGGACTGATGAAAGTAAGATTGTTCTTTTTGGTCTAGTGGCCGGAGACAGTTTGTCAGGACCCCCAAAACACTGAATCACTGAATTCAAGCCACAGTACACTGTGAAGGAAGTGAAGCATGGCTGTGCAAGCATCATGATATGGGGATGTTTCTCATACTACGGGGTTGGCCTATTTATCGCATCAGGGATCATGGATCAGTTTGAATACATCAGAATACTTGAAGAGGTCATGCTGCCTTATGCTGAAGAGGAAATGCCCTTGAAATGGGTGTTCCAACAAGACAACGACCCCAAACACACCAGTAAACGTGCAACATCTTGGTTCCAGACCAAAGATTGCCGTTATGGAGTGGCCAGCCCAATCCCCAGATTTTAATCCAATAGAAAACTTGTGGGGTGATATAAAAAATGCAGTTTCTGAGGCAAAACCAAGAAATAGAGAAGAACTGTGGTGGAATGTAGTCCATCATCCTGGGCTGGAATACCTGATCACAGGTGCCAGAAGTTGTTGACTCCATGCAACACAGATGTACAGCAGTTCTCAGAAACAGTGCTTATACAACTAAAATTCATTAAGTGATTCAAGGAAAGCAAAATCTTCAAACATTTTTCAGTTTATATAGTGAATGTTTGAGTTTGTAAAGAAGAATACAAACACTGCTATTTTTTGAATGTCTAATATTCACTTTTCTTCAATTTTTTTTAGAGCAACAACACAAATTTGATATGTTTTTCTTCATGTTTTGATTTGGAATAGAATGTAGTGCCCAATGCATTTGTGTGTATGGAAATAAAAGCTATTAGAAGGATTTGAGCTTTATTCACTTTTTTCAACACACTGCTATTCATTTTGAACACAACTGGACACACACACACATGTCAACTATCACTCTGCCATTATTCTGTTTTTGCCAATAATGTAATTTACATTCACTGTCGACTTTATTAGGTATACCTCGCTGGCCAAGAAAATATCCCCCACACCATTACACCACCAGCAGCAGCCTGAACCGCTGATCTGGTGAGGCAGGATGGATCCATCCTTTCATGTTGTTTACATCAAATTCTGACCCTACCATCTGAATGTTGCAGCAACCAGTCTGCCCACTCTCCTTGACCTCTGATATCAACAAGGCATTTTTGTCCACACAACTACCGCTCGCTGGATATTTTCTTTTTTTTATGATCATTCTCTGATGAGATGATTGTGTGTGAAAATTGCAGTAGTTCAGCCAGTTTTTGAAATGCTCAAACTGCCCATACTTGGGACCAACAACCATACCATGTGCAAAAAAAAAACTTTAAAAAGTTGAAGCGCTAAACTGATCAAATATCATAAATATAAATAAATAAATCTTTTGCCGAATCATATAAAAGTGCTCAGTTTATGCACATATCCATATGCAATTTCTCCCTCATGAGATTAAATTAGTGAAATCCAATATATACAAAGGGAATAAATCATGAACTAACACACATGTGCAACAAACTGATGATAATAAAACTGAAACTCTAAATTAAGATCCACAAAATAGATATCAAGTGGAAAACCAACAATTTCCCATGACCAATGTATAAATAATTTATAATGCTAAAATTAATTATATATATTAATATATATATATAATTAAATATATATATATATATACTATATATTATATTTATTATATATATATAATAAATATATAAAATGTGTGTGTATATACAGTTGTGTTCAAAAAATAATAGCATTCAGACATCACTAACCTGATCAATCACTGTTTTTGGTAGAAATGATATTTCTACATGGCAAATAATTTTACTAGCAGGGTGGTAGAAGTCCCAACAGACCCAATAGTCATGACATTGCATGATGCTGATTCTGTGTAACTTGAATCACTGATTGAAAGGGGCATGTAAGCTCGAAAAAAAATCAGTACAAGTGTGGAGTTTAATATTTTGAGGAACATTTCATTCTTTGAAAAATAGGTGGCAATTTTGCCCTTATTGAAGGAAGGAAGGCAGCAAATTTGTACATTGCTGGTTACATGCATTTTCTCCTTGAAATTCTTAGGAAAATGGATCGTTCCAGACATTGTTTTCAGAAGAACAGCGTACCTTGATTAAAAAGTTGATGGAGAGGGGAAAACATATAAAGAAGTGCAGAAAATGATAGTGCTGCTCAGCTAAAATGATCGCAAATGCTTTAAAATGCCAACCAAAACCTAAAAGACGTGGGGAACCTCTAAAGCAAAAAACTACCATTCGAATGGTTTATTATAATAGCTGTTGGCAAGGAATCGGCCAACAATCAGTTCCAGGAAGATCAAGAAGGTCTAAAGTTACCGGTGTAGTACTGTTACAATTAGAAGACTCTCCTATGTGAAGCCAAGCGAACATCTGCAAGAAGCCCCCGCAAAGTCCCACTGTTGAAAAAAAGACATGTGCTGAAGAGGTTACCAATTTGCCAAAGAGACATAGACTGGCCTAGCCAAAAGAGAAATGGCGCAACATTTTGTGGACTGATGAAAGTAAGATTTGTTCTTTTTGGGTCTAGTGGCGGAGACAGTTTGTCAGACGACCCCCAAACACTGAATCACTGAAATTCAAGCCACAGTACACTGTGAAGGACAGTGAAGCATGGCTGTGCAAGCATCATGATATGGGGATGTTTCTCTACTACGGTGTTGGGCCTATTTATCGCATACCAGGGATCATGGATCAGTTTGAATACATCAGAATACTTGAAGAGGTTCATGCTGCCTTATGCTGAAGAGGAAATGCCCTTGAAATGGGTGTTCCAACAAGACAACGACCCCAGAAACACACACCAGTAAAACGTGCAACATCTTGGTTCCAGACCAACAAGATTGCCGTTATGGAGTGGCCAGCCCAATCCCCGGTTTTTTAATCCAATAGAAAACTTGTGGGGTGATAAAAAAAATGCAGTTTCTGAGGCAAAACCAAGAAATAGAGAAGAACTGTGGAATGTAGTCCAATCATCTGGGCTGGAATACCTGTTCACAGGTGCCAGAAGTTGGTTGACTCCATGCAACACAGATGTACAGCAGTTCTCAGAAACAGTGCTTATACAACTAAATATTCATTAAGTGATTCAAAGGAAAGCAAAATCTTCAAACATTTTTTCAGTTTATATAGTGAATGTATTTGAGTTTGTAAAGAAGAATACAAACACTGCTATTTTTTGAACAGTCTAATATTCACTTTTCTTCAATTTTTTTTTAGAGCAACAACACAAATTTGATATGTTTTTCTTCATGTTTTGATTTGGAATAGAATGTGTAGTGTTCCCAATGCATTTGTGTGTATGGAAAATAATAAGCTATTAGAAGGATTTTGAGCTTTATTCACTTTTTTACAACACACTGCTATTATTTTGAACACAACTGTACACACCACACACATCACAACACACACTGTCAACATATCACTCTGCCATTATTCTGTTTTTGCCCAATAATGTAATCCAACTGTTTATTCGGTAACCTCGCTAAGTGCCAAGAAAATATCCCCCACCATTACACCACCAGCAGCAGCCTGAACCGCTGATCTGGTTGAGGCAGGATGGATCCATCCTTTCATGTTGTTTACATCAAATTCTGACCCTACCATCTGAATGTTGCAGCAACCAGTCTGCCCACTCTCCTCTGACCTCTGATATCAACAAGGCATTTTGTCCACACAACTACCGCTCGCTGGATATTTTCTTTTTTTATGATCATTCTCTGGAAACCCCAGAGATGATTGTGTGTGAAAATTGCAGTAGTTCAGCAGTTTTTGAAATGCTCATACCTGCCCATCTGGCACCAACAACCATACCATGTGTAAAAAAAACTTTAAAAAATTAGTGAAGCGCTAAAACTGATCAAATATCATAAATATAAATAAATAAATCTATGCCCGAATCATATAAAAGTGCTCAGTGATATCGCACACAATCCATATCAATAACACCTCCCTACATGGGAGATTAAATTAGTGAAATCCCAATATATAATAATAATAAATCATGAACTAACACACAGTGAACAAACTGATGATAATAAAACTGAACTCTAAATTAAGATCCACAAAAATAGGATATCAAGTGGAAAACCATACCAGTGACTTCCTCCCCAATGTATAAATAAACTAATTAAAATTCATTAGTGCCATAAACTGATAAACAATGCATAAATTAGTGAAAAAAGCCCATGCATGTGATTCTGTGTTTCAAACAAACGTGTTCTCCACTCTAGTGTGAAAAGTGAATCCTCCAACCGGCAGCAATGCCTGCTCACCTCCTCACGCTGACCCACACAGGGCCACAAAGCAGTTATCACCTTAATGGTAAATCCTCTCAGATAAAGCTCCTCATCCAGGTGCACTTAGATGGCTCCTCCTTAATATATCTCCTCACTTGCATCTCCACTCCCTGATAAAGTCACAACGCACGTGACGCAACACGTCGGTTCGTCATTTCGGGTGACACATGTCCGGACGCCGCGGCCATATTGGATTCCCCATTACTATGCAAATACACTCATAGGATGTGGTAACAAAGCTTTTTTATTGGGATTGAAATGTGAGTTTAATACCTTACTGTTTTTATCTTTAAATAAATGGAATTCCTACACTATGGAAAGGTTTTTGTATTCACTTATGTGCCCTGGAGTGGAGATGCAAGTGAGGAGATATATTAAGGAGGAGCCATCTAAGTGCACCTGGATGAGGAGCTTTATCTGAGAGGATATACCATTAAGGTGATAACTGCTTTGTGGCCCTGTGTGGGTCAGCGTGAGGAGGTGAGCAGGCATTGCTGCCGGTTGGAGGATTCACTTTTCACACTAGAGTGGAGAACACGTTTGTTTGAAACACAGAATCACATGCATGGCTTTTTTCTCTAATTTATGCATTGTTTATCAGTTTATGGCAATAATGAATGTTAAATAGTTTATTTATACATTGGGGAGGAAGGCACTGGTATGTTTTTCCACTTGATATCCTATTTTTGTGGATCTTAATTTAGAGTTCAGTTATATTATCATCAGTTTGTTCACTGTGTGTTAGTTCACGATATATTATTATATATTGGGATTTCACTAATTTAATCTCCCATGTAGGGAGGTGTTATTGATATGGATTGTGTGTGATATCACTGAGCACTTTTATATGATTCGGCATAGATTTTTATTTTATTATTTATTTTTATTTATGATATTTGATCATTTTAGCGCTTCACTAATTTTTAAAGTTTTTTTACACTTGTTGGTTTAAGTTGAGTGGCAGCAGCTAAAAAACAGTTCTATTCATCCTATTGAGCGCAGGAGGATACCTTTCAGTTTTTAACAACCATACCATGTTCAAATTCACTTAAATCCCATTTCTTCCCCATTCTGATTCTCAGTTTGACCTTTAGAAAGTTGTCTTCACCACGTGTACATGCCTAAATGCATTAAGATACTGAAAGGTGATTGGCAGCTTCTGTTACCAATTAATTGAACATGTATACCTAATAAAGTGGCCGGTGAGTGTATGCTATGATAGCTAACTGGCTATACATCTATTTGTAATAATTTATTTCTCTAAACTTAAAAAAAATACTGAAATTAATAAAAAAAAAAAGAAATAAATGAAAGTCTCTAATGTTTCTTCGAACAGTTGAAGAGCCAGCTCTGCCAGGCCGAACTGTCATATAGCAGTGTTCTTGATGGGATGAAGAAGGAGATCTCTCAGCTGACACAAGAACTACACCAGAGGGACATTAGCATTGCCTCCAGCGTTACAGCCAAAGAATGGGAGAGGAGCGTGCAAGCTGAGCGGGTCAGAGCTGACAGGGAAGCAACGCAGGATAAGGTACTATGCAAGTAGTTTTAGAGACGACATGGCTAGTCAAGATTTGTGAATAAGTATCACAGCCTATATTTTAGCATTTGTAGATCATTTGGTTTTCAGTAAAAGTAACTTGCGCTTATGCATTTTTTATTGTATTCTTTCTGTGAATTGTGTGAAAAGTAAAGTGATTGTAAAGGCAGATTTTTTTTTTAAAATAACAAACATGTCATGCTTACCTGCTTTATGCAGTAGTTTTTCACAGAGCAGCCCTGATCTTCCTCTCCTCGGGTCACCTGCTGGTGCTCCTGCTGAGTACTCCCACAGCATGCAGCTGGCTATGGGGACAACCAAGCAAGCTTGCTCCCTAGCCGCTGCTCTGTGTGTACACACACACACACATTCACACACACACACACACACACACACGGCCCTGCCCTGCCCTGCACTCTCTCCTCATTGGCTCAGGGAGCCAGTGGCTCCCGCTGCTGTCTCAGCCAATGAGTAGGAAGAGACACGGGACAGCCGAGGCTTCCGTGCACATTGCTAGATCAAGATGGAGCTCAGGTAATTATTAGGGGGTTGTGTGGGGAGCTGCTCACAGGAGGTTTTCTACCTGCTTGCATAGATTGCATGCAGGTAAAAAAAACCTTGAGCCTTTACAACCACTTTAATGATCAGTTTATTAAAAAACACAACTCCAGCCAAAACATTTTTTACCCGATCGTACAGTGCAGTACACAGGCTTCTTTAAATCATTATTGCTGGGCTATATGTTGTCATTTCAGATGGTGACTGGACACTGGCAAAAAGACTACAGGGTCATTCTTCATCCCCAAGCCTCAGTTTTTTTTGCTGGTGTCCTTAGGGGATTGAACTCTTCTCTCTACAGAGAGAAGCCTGCCAATTTACATGGTCTGCCTGGTGTAGTGCCTACTCTCTCCCCTGCAGTGATATGCCCACTGTAAAAAGGGCAAAGTCAGGAAGACAATATCTCCCTCTTATACCTGCTGCTGACACGATCAGTAAATAGGGGCGGAATCTCTTTAATCACTAAATGCTCTTTGGGGATGAGAATTACTGCCTTCCACACTTCTGGTAGTATAGTTTTACAGTCCAGGATGGTCTGGGTTAATGGTGCCATTTGGGTATCTTTGCAGAGGGAGCCTGCTGTGCCACTGTTACACCTGGTCTCGTCCTTGCTTTTTCATGCAGTACTGTGCCTACATGGCAGAAATCATGTGCTGGACATGCGCCACCATATTTTGAGGGGTTGTCTAAGGTTGCATGGCCTGCCTCTTCCTCTGCATTCAGTAGCCAACCAAGCAACATCTCATGGTTCTAGATTCAAGGGCACATTTTTGCAGTTTACTCTCTCTGATCCTGGGTTAGTGACCTTCAAGTGCTTGCAATGTGGCGTTTTTTCCCCCTGCACCTCACCAGGGACATTTTAATCACACATGATAGACCAGAAACGGAAAGATAAGGGGTCAGATGAGCTCAATAGCTCAGGCTCAGCCTTAAGCTCTATTGGTGTTTAAAGTACATTGAGTCAGAGCCCTAGTACCCTCTGCTCTGTTGGTTGCCCCCATTATGATTTTCTGCCTTCATCTGGTCATTTAGCTATTGCCTTCTTTAGGAAATCAGATTCCCTCCTTTATGAGCTCCCTATTGCTTGCTACAAAACTGAGGCTAAATGGAAGTGAGTGGGAGCAGTGCTACAGAGATGTTCCTGCAGTTTGCCTTTTTTTTTTTCCGGGTCCAGTCCCCTGACAGTAGCTGCATATAACCCAGCTGTAAGGATTTAACGAAACCTGTGTTCTCTACAGTACTCCAGGAAGCATATTTTACCAGTAAGGATTAAAAAAAAAAAGTTTTTTTTGGGTTTTTATTTGGATAGAGTAGGGGAGGTTAAGACTTCTTTCAGGTTTTTACTCCTGTCTTTTCCCTCGTGGGGATTTTCCCTTGCTTTCTGTCCTGTTGAAAGTTTGTCAAAGTGATAGGAAGCCTCTCTAATGAGGACAGAGTCTGCAACAAAACAGTTTTTTAGCAGAATGGGGGAAGATTTGAACCTTCTGTGAAGGTTTTTAGGGTAGCCGTATACATAGAAGGATACGTTCACCTTTTGCTAAAAAAATAATAAATGAACATTTTTTTGCAGGTAAAAAAATGTGCATTTATTATTTTTCGTTGCAGGAACCTGTAAACCATTGCACCAGAGATCAACAAATCGTTGGTGCCATGCAGGTCTCATGCAGACCTGTCAGTAAATTTTCTTGCCTGTATGGGATGTACAAGCAAGCAGATATACTGACAGGAAGACTCAATAAACTACCACGGCGGTACACTGCACTGTGGTAGTTTATTGAGAACTACAAGCCGACAGCCGCTAAGGTTGTCAGGACATGTAGTTTCTCATTCACAGAGGACTTTTTTTTTTTTTTTTTTTAATTTTTTTTATTTTGACAGCAAGTGGGGAGAGATCCCTTGTTAGCTGTCAAAGAGGGGAATCAGGGGCCTGGGCTATTCATAACATGTTACATTCTAAATATGGGTGTAACATGTTAATGTAAAGGTGAACTCTCATATTCAGCCACACATGTTGAACGAGAGAAATCACTGATTCCCCAATCAATGCTAAACCACATTGATGGAGGATTCTCCCCTGCTGGTTATTGCATCCTGATAGTCGCTGCTCCTATGTCTGTCTGAATACCCAAGCAGTGACTGCATGTGATTGGCTGCAGTCACTGTTGGGCTGAGAATTTTCGCTACAGTTCCTTTAAATTTCAGATCAAAGTTTGTTAAGCCCAGGGTGCCAACAGGGCCATCCACGGCTTGAATTTCGGCTGATTCAAAGGAATCAGAGGAAATTTGAGTCTTATATGGCCATAATTATCTGTTTCCAGTAATTAATATATACCAATATACAAAGAAAAATAGAAGCATTGCAGAGAACTTGGTGAATTATCCCCCCCCCCCCACTGTGGACTGCCCATGCAATTTCGTCTTTTTTTTGTAACTTTTTAGACTACCTGTTGGCATAGATGATTGTAGTGTACTACCTGTAATTTTCCTTCTACATTTCTGTTGTATGTGCTGCTTGGATTTATTTCACATTACAATCTCTCCTGTGTTTTTTAGGCTTTGGAAAATCTTGAGTGTGGGAACCAGAAACTACAGAAAGAATTGTCCCAGGCTCGGGGGGATCTGGAGCTTGTTTTGCAGACACAAGAGTCGTCTGATATCCAGACTGCAGTGGATAGGTGAGGAAACTGGTTCCCTTGGATGACAGCAACTTATGTGGTACTGGCATGCTCAGGGATTCTGGATGAAAACCAAATTATACCACCAACAAAACCAGATGGTCATTGCATTTCCAGTGATGGAGTTTAGAATAGAATAATTTTACAGTTGTTTTTGTTGGAATAGAGGAATATTCATTTTTACATGGCTCTTTAATGTACCAGCCTACATAAACATAGGGAGAGGTTCACAAAATGTGACTCCAAGAAACAGTGCAGTAGTTTTATCTCTAAGGTTGCCACTAAATTATTAATATTATTAGCATGTACATTTTAAGTGTTACCCTAATGAACAACATAACTCCTTCAGTCAGGTTCCAGCACTGTGACTGTTTGATGTTGAAATGCTGCAGCCAGTGCATTGCACACACCTTGGACAGAACTATTGTTTACCATTTGTTAGATCTCTTTCACATGGACCATTAGGTGCATACAGCACAGTCCAGTAGCAGGAAATGACAGATGCTTGCAGCTGGGGTGACAGGTGTATGCAGTCAGCATGATGTGGAAAAAAGTTCTGGTTGGTCACACATCCCATATAATGACCTTTATTGTAACATCTTCCATATAAACACTCCACAATACAATAGAAGAGGGGAAACAGCACACCAGCTAACGTTTTTTTCACCCTAACATCAGTGCATATTCATTAAGCTATGAATAAGCGCTGATGTTAGCATGAAACATGTTAGCTGGTGTGCTGATTTCCCTCTTCTATTGTAATGAGGAGTCTTTATCATTATATAGGATGCCTAACTTCACTTGAAACAGTAACTCTGGGAACAAACTTCCTATTTTCTGTATCTAAAGGATGGATGCTGGACTCTACTCCCTCTACAGTGGCTTCTGTCTCTTAATGGTTCAATTACAAAGTCTCTTTAAGGAGCACTAGGTCCCTCTAAGTGAATCTCTTCAGACTCCAGCTGGAAACTACCCACCCACCTGGCTGTCTTAAAAAGTATCCCAGAGCAAGAGATTCGAGAACAGTCCTTAGCACTGTCCCAGGGAGAACTTGCTGGATATTGCACATGGCAGCCCTCCCCCTTGTAGGCTCTGGGCGTGTAGAGGTACTCAATTGGTCCCTTGTATCATGAAGTTTTGCATAAGACTGCTTGTTCAAGCTGTTAGGCTAGTGTTCTATGCTGAACAGGGTACCCTCTGTATAAGAATTGTGGCGCAGTTTCCTCTTCCAAACTTCTTCTCTCCTTCTCAGCTCCAACCTGGAGGTTAGAGCCCCCTTCCCCCTGGGTCCCCTCTCAGGCCTTACAGTACTAACATTCCATATTCCACCTGATCACCGGACTCCCCTGCTTGCCAGGCTCTTTCATATTTAGGGGCCTGTCTGCCACCCAGCCAGGCCTCCTGCCTGGGATTGGTCCAACTTCCATTAATATGCAGATTTTAGTCTCCACCCCTCCACCCACTGGCTTGTAGACACTTTTGGAAGACTCCAGAACCAGGGGAAGGTACCAGAGACCTGACCTGGAGAGCCCTCCAGCCTGACCTAAAGTAATCCAGTAAGACATGCTCACTTCACTACTGTGAGCAAAACAATATAACTCTCTAATAGCCCTAGAGGGCGCTAAATTTGTAAATTGAATATGTTTTTCTGATCCATAAAACATTTTTTTTTTCCTGGCAGGAGATCCCAGGAACTGCTGGGCAAGCACGAGACAGAGTTGACTGCACTTAATGAACGGTTGAATGAAGTCTCTGAGAAGTATGAGGAGGTCCTGCGTGCTCTCCAGTCTCAACGAGAAGCTGCCTCTGTTCTAAAAGATTTAAGCAGGACAAGTTCTGTGGAATCGGTGTCTTCTGAGCACAGCAAAGCAGATGTTCATGTTGAAGATGAGGACTCTAACAGGGAATCACAGGTGAAAACTTACTTCACTTAAGTTGAGGACAAGATTAATTCCGCTGTGATTCTGTATTCTGTGACCAAAAAACATGAACTTTCAAGTGGTTAATATTTAATATAGGAACTATATTTAACCTTTTAAAGTCTCATTGTTTTATTTATCCCATTAAAGGGTAACTCCACTTTCTTGGGTAAAATAAAATAGCAAATAAAAAAAAAATGATTTAGTGCATACATTTGCAACACATGTCATATTGTAATTGAATGCATTTGAAAACGACCTTTCTTTTTCAATCTGCATCGCTATAATTTGTCTGTAAAATGCAATACAATATAGCTACCTAGAAGCATTCTGTACAGAGATGGTGTACAGAACGCCGCCTAAAAATGTAATTTCCTGCTTGCGTGATTTGTGTACTAATTGTCCAGAAGTCTGCACTAAGATACAAGTCAGGTTTTGGCCATTCCTTGCAAAAAAATATCCTTTTTGGTGAGATACTGCCAATCGGAAATCATGTCTCAAGGGATGCAGACCCTGCCACTTTTCTCAGTAAAGTCCTGCAGGTGGAGCAGCTAATTGATAATGAGAAAATCACTCTGACTGATTCCCTTTTCACATGGACACAGACAAACAAACAGCTCTATATTAAGAATAACCAGATAAGAATCTGAACCAAAGTTTGTTAAAATCCCTGCAATGTACATAGATCACCCAGAGAGGAATGTTTTTTTTATGATGTTTTTTTTTTTTTTTTTTTTTTTTTTTTCTCAAGAAAGGTGGAGTTACTGTTTAAGTGTTATTTAAAGTGGACTTGAACTCTGTAAGTGAAGATTTGCTATGTTATAGGGAACATCTAGAAATGTTGATTGTACATAAGCAGTTCTATTAAAAAATTCACATTGTTTTCTGGAATTTTTAATTAGCAGTGTATTACCTGTATGTGAGTATACCAAGGTACCTCTGTGCCTGATGGTGGTGATACCATTTCTGTTTTGCTCTTTGATTTCCTTGCTAGAGGCTCAGACATGGAGATGTATTAATCTGCCTCTAGTGAGTGTAGTTCCTCCTTCATCCCCATCTCATATAGCTTCTTTTTCTGTACTGTCCGCCCCCCTTCCCCATCATACATCTCCTAGAATCACACAATTTACATCAGTCATACGTTAATAATATTTTCTGTTTTATCTCTCATTTCACTTTTCCCTGTTGTAGCTCCCAATGCCACCGTCCTCCCCGGCCAGCACGATAGCCACAAGGTTCCTACAGGAGGAGGAGCTGCGATCGCAGGATCTTATTCAAAAACTAGATTCTCATATTGAGGAACTGAAACAAGAGAGTCGGCGCACAGTGCACCATTTCACAAACACCAGGTAACACAGGCGGACTGCTGCTGTCTGTGCAAAGGCCATGAGAGACATTGGAGTCTGTCTTATCCACCAGATGTCCTTAGTCATAAACTCACTTTACCTGCTTTACCTTGGTTTGTGTGTTCTTAAGCATTGTACACCTTGAGTATGAGTCATTAAATCTCTTCTTTGTATATTCTACTTTTAATGTACAAAACATAAATGCCATTGGGAGTGAATTCAAGCATTACAATACATGGTTTGTACTTTCATAATAATTCTGTGTAGATATTTTGGACTAGTCTGGTGATATAGTGAATGTGAAGAGAATTATTACTGCCATATGTCTTGTATGTACTGTTGTAGTAAGAGATGTTAAAGAGACCACGTCAGGTTCCCTGACTGAGAGAAGGTAGTATACGTACCTCTCCAGCGGCCTGTGACCTGCCTTCCCTCCTGGCAGGGTATTCAATGCTTTAAAGAGTGTTGAATGCCTGTGTCCTCCACTGTGCTAAGACCTTCCTCTTACCCTATGCCATTGAGTCCTTCAGTGTCACAAGGGTCAGAGAAAGGTAATAGCATGGTGGGGGACACAGGCATACAACACTTTCAAATACCAAAGTGACAGATGGAGGAGGCAACACTGAAACAAAGAAATTTCCATGTCACTGTGAAATTTCCATGTCATTATCTCTTCTTTGGCAGCAGTGAATTGAACTTTCTTGAAGGAAACTTGGCTTACCTTATAGTTTGTTTATCTGGGATAAAGCAGTGTTTGCAGGAATTCAACTAGCCACTTTACTGAAATCTGTTGACACATGTCAGATGTATATGATAAATTGGTAGGCACCATTTCAGTTGATTCCACAAATTGTCTTTTTTATAGACTTTTAGCTTTATCCCTTAATAAAAAAGGTGTACATGGTACAGCAACCCATAACCATCAACCAGATTTCTGCTTTCTCAAATTAAAAGTGCTTAGAACAATGAATGAAGCACACTTCATAAAAATTAAAAACGCGGACCCTTACCCTGTTATTGGGGTATAATGGTGCTAGGGGACCTAGTAGAGGAGGCATACAATCCATATATGATGTGAACAATGCAGGAGTGATGGCAATATACCACCCAAGAGTCCATATGTGTCCATACACAAATTAGTGGCTTTTAGTCCTGATAGCTGCCAGCTGTCATAGATGAAGCTTCTCTGTGTGGGAGATCAAAATAGAAATGACAGCAGCACTGATCTAGGTGTAGTAGTTGGGATAAAACCTTTTGGCAAATGTACAAAGCAACTCACATAGGAATGAAATGGCTCGCATATAAGATGATGTTGGCTCCACCAGCCAAGGTATATTCCAGTTCAGGTAGGCAGCTCTGTGAGCAACGTGACTCGCGGTCCATTCAGCTGCCCTGGTGGTTTCCAGGGCTCCAGGACGCTGAGAGATGATAGTGACGTCACCGGAAATGTAAGGGGGAGGACCAGCAGGCTGATTGTTCAGAGTATTCGTGTTCCTCCTTCAGGCCATGAAGGAGCACGCATGCTCTGAACATGCGCCAATCAGCCTGCTGGTCCTCTCCCTTGCCATACCTCGGCTGGAGGAGTCACCATCATCTTATATGCAAGCCATTTCATTTCTTTGTGAGTTGCTTTGTGCATTTGCCATTAAAGCTTTTAGGACCCCTACCCTGTGCCCATGCATACCTTTGGCACTGTTTACATCTCTGTTGCTATTTAACCAATAGCCAGTAACCTTAATCGCCATAGGTGTCTAACTCAAGGTGGGGGTAGGTTTGGGTTTCTTTTAATAAACAAGTCGGCTTGTTTGATTTTTAATTGGTGGCTGTGGGTTATATAACTTTGCAAATTGCTTGACTGCCTTTAATAAAGAGGCACTGTCACCTTCCATATACAGGTCAAAGAGACAACGCCTTTGCAAAGACCCTCTTAAGTGACCCACTGATACTTCCCTTGCCACTGCTTCCATTTTCATGGTGGCCACCAAAATCCCCAGTCACTAGCTGCTATGAAAAAAGAAGCAGCGGAGGAGCACTGGCAATGCATCAGACACGGTCACTTTGCCCTGAATGGAAAAGGTGACACTGTCTCTCTTAATTAACCAACTTTTGATTTCACATTAAAAATGGAATGTGTAAATATTTCAATATTTTTTGTAGTTTTTACTTTTTAAATCTTGTCTTCTTTTATAAGTAGTGTAAATGCTATTTGAGTAGCTCTTGGTAATACATTTGCATTACTACAACAAAACTGAATGCACCTGAAACCATAGTATACTACATGTTCTAAAAAGAAATAGACATTGAGGAGAATATGCTGAGACTGGAGCTGACAGAATCTGGAGCAGTTGCACATAGTAACCAATCAGCTTCTAGCTTCCATTTTCAAAGCTTCAAGTGAAACTAAACCTTCCTCTCCTTTAAAGCCAAGGAATCTGCCATCTTAGCCTCTATCTGATCTACAATTAACATGGTGCTATACAAGTGATCAGCTGTGACACCAGCCATTTGAAGTCTTGACAGTTGGGGAGAGAGCTGACATAAGCATACTAGTAACTGTAACCGTTATTGACCTCAAATACCTCAAATGTAAGTCTTTTGGGAAACATTTGGTTTAGTTCCACTTAAGAGCAGATTCACACGTGCGGTGCGGAATGAAGCTCAGGTTTCACAGCTAATTGATACAGTAGTTGTTCACGTCAGGTTCACGTCTTCAGGACAGGATTAGCTCAGGATCTTATCTTGTTCACACGTGATCGCACTGCTCAAAATTGGACATTACTTTTTTTTTAAAACCTCACTGAATCCACACAGGCAGTGCACCGGACATATGTGAACAGGCACCATAGGAAGCAGTGTTTTTGCACATTTCATGCAGATTGGATGCATTCAAGTTGTACCTGTTTATCTAAAGCTTCTCTACATCCATTCAAAATGCTGAATTTACACAGGATCTCTCAGCTCTGAAATGCAGGGGCGGAGAGCTGAAGTTAAACTCAGCGTGAGAGCTCTGAGAACTGATTAGAGGGAAGGGACCTTCACACAGAAACAGAGTTGAGGTTGTCAGTCACAGGTTGCATGATTTTTCTCTGTGTCAGGAAAACTTGACACTTAGTGCTCTGGATTGAGACAAGTACACACTATAGAGGGATGTGCTTTGTTCATATTTCATGTCTGAGGTTTACAACCACTTTAACAGAAAATACTTTAGATAAATTGGTTGGTTACTATGCTCTGCTTTTAGTAAAATACCCCCACTGTTTTTTGTTTGGATAAGTTTTTAATCCAATAGCATTATCTAGTAATTTGTGTATTTCTAAAATGCAAAAATTGGTATTTATTGCTAGATAATTTATATGCTGACTTGTTCAGACAAACAAAGAGCAGTGATCATGAACAAAGTACTGTAGCCTTTACCAACCAGATTCAGTTACCTGATATTAGATCAGTAAGAAATTATCGGTGGTTGTTTGCTATGTGATACCGTACTTTTGTAGACTGTTTTTGCTAAGTACATCTACGAGTTTAAAGGGGAATTGCTCTTTTACACAAAATCCCATATACCAACTCCTGCTTTCTTCATCCAAATTTGAATATTGAGAGAAACAGACCACGTGTAGACAGTCACACTCTTCTTGGTGAGCGTGTGCTAAGCCCAGACTATAGAAAACAGTGGCTGAACTGAGGCTTCCATGACTCTTCTATATGGGCTGGACCAATCCATGGACATAAAATTCACAGGAACGTGAAGGATGTAAACACTTCATGGCCCTGGGATGTGAGATAATGGGTTTGTCTTTGGAGTCTGTACTTGCAGATTTGATGATGGAGGTGGGAGAGCGGGAGTACACTTTATGTAATATTTCTATTTTTATTTGAATGTGCATTGACTTTCTAATACACTTTGGCTGCATAATCAGATTCCTAAAATGTAAAGAAATATTTTTATACTTAATAAATTATTTGAATATTCTTTTACGTGTTTTTCTTGTGTGTCGTATTACAACATAATTTTCATCTATGAATTACATAATTTTGTTTATGCTGAGAACCTATCACTTTGAGTTCATGAAAGCTGAAAACAATTTGAAACAGCAAGAAGAACTCTAGAAAAAAACATTTACAATCTGCTGGCATGCCATCTCCTGGATCTCCCTGTTTTGTTTACAATTTACTGGTTCACTGAGCGCTGGTGTTCCAAGAGGAAATATATGGTTCTCCTACATTGGAACTGCCCCGCCCACCTCTCCTCTCCCTTCCCCATTCACAGATAGCTTTGGATTTTTTGAATGGGTTCACAGAAAGCAAGGAGTTCTGAGTGGACAAGGTGGGCAATGCAGCTGCCAGTGACTCTATGGGTGCTGTGTGAGAGACCCATAGCTGGGGTGTCAGAGTGTTGGAAGTACACTGGATATATTTGTAGTACCTATACTATTGGAGGTCAGTAAAACGGTAAACTCTTAAAAGAAAAAAAAAAAAAAAAGAGCGAGCTTCAGGAGGAAATGTTTTTTTTCCTGGAGTTCTTGTTAAAACCCTCATCCAGCTTATGTTTTTCTATCTTGTATATTGGGAGCTTTTCCAGCACTTCTTGCCCTAGAGGCACAACAGGAATAGGAGGACATCTTTATGAATTGAGGAATTCCCCACTTAGGCAGTTGCCACCCAAACAAGTGTCCCCATTGGGTGATTTCCCCTAACGTCTGGTGACAAACTGTAACATTTGGATTTCTCATTTTTTCTGTCTTGGTGACAGTAGTCGCTAAAATTAAAGATACTGAATCTCTCCAGTAGGGCACAGACTGCAAAAAAACCTGAGTGGAATTTTAACCTCATCTCTGTGTTCCCAAAACTAACAAAAAAAGTTTTAACTACACATTTATTTAAAATTATTATACAGGATTTATTATAAAAATAAATTGAAAATTTTCCAACATGTCTTAACCAATCACCTTTTTTTTGACTCAATTAGCTTCACATTTAAAACCTAAACAGTCCCCTTAATTTAAACTC